AAAATAATTTTTCCAGAACGATTCGAAAATTTTCAATTTTGTCAAAAAATTTCACAACTTGCCGAATTTTTTTCTCAAAAGTGGATAGGATTTCAGGGGTATGTGTATTCACCAAAAATGATTGTAATGGAGCCTCGTAACTAAAAATAATTTTTCCAGAACGATTCGAAAATTTTCAATTTTGTCCAAAAATTTGTCCACTTACTGAATTTTTTTCTAGAAAGTGGCTAGGATTTCGGGGGTAGGTCTATTCACCAAAAATAATTATAATTGACCTTCGTAACTAAAAATAATTTTTCCAGAACGATTCGAAAATTTTCAATTTTGTCAAAAAATTTCACAACTTGCCGAATTTTTTTCTCAAAAGTGGATAGAAATTCAGGGGTATGTGTATTCACCAAAAATGATTGTAATGGAGCCTCGTAACTAAAAATAATTTTTCCAGAACGATTCGAAAATTTTCAATTTTGTCCAAAAATTTGTCCACTTACTGAATTTTTTTCTAGAAAGTGGCTAGGATTTCGGGGGTAAGTCTATTCACCAAAAATAATTATAATTGACCCTGGTAACTAAAAATAATTTTTCCAGAACGATTCGAAAATTTTCAATTTTGTCAAAAAATTTGTCCACTTACTGAATTTTTTTCTAAAAAGTGGCTAGGATTTCGGGGGTAGGTCTATTCACCAAAAATAATTATAATTGGCCTTCGTAACTAAAAATAATTTTTCCAGAACGATTCGAAAATTTTCAATTTTGTCAAAAAATTTCACAACTTGCCGAATTTTTTTCTCAAAAGTGGATAGGATTTCAGGGGTATGTGTATTCACCAAAAATGATTGTAATTGAGCCTCGTAACTAAATATAATTTTTTCAGAATGATTTGATATTCTTGATTTTTGTCATATTTTGTCAAATTTTTTTTTTACTTGCAACTCTCGAAGAAGAAATACAAAAATAATGAATAATTTTAATTCATTCGTTATTCACGAATTATACTAGCTAGTTTATTCGTTACTTGTGAATTACAAATAAATCGAATTTATTTATTTTAAATAATGTTTGCCTAACACTGCTATACTGTATACGCAAAAAGTGCCACATGTCAATTTTCTAGTAAAATTTTTTACTATTTATCCTTTTCAAATTTAAAGGTTATGAAATATAATGTCAATATAACAAACTATTTAGTTATAAATCATGTAAATTTATAGAGTTATTTTGTATAAATTGTTATAAAAATGATTATATGTATATTATGTATTAAGATTTAATTTTTTAATTTCTTTTTATATCGTTCCACAATATTTTTAATATTATTCTTCTGTTATAGGAAATATACATAATAAAGATTCTTCATATCGTGCAAGACTTTCTTTGTTTTTCTTATATATCAAATTTGTATTTACTGAAACACGTAAACAATCTTTGCCCTATTTTCCAAGTAATTTTATCAGTTCTTCTTTGTTATTTTCCTCTAAAAACCACTCGTTTCCAGAATTTTCAACAACACCGAGCGTAAAACTGAACCAGGAGAGAGGCTTTAACACTTGGCATGCGGGCAACGTATTTTTACGTTTTTTGCAGTCTGTCATTGGAGCGCGGGTCACGTAAAAATACGTGTTTAGTAGATTTGTGATGGATAACGGATATTTTCGTAATTTCGTAAAAATATCATTTTCTGTGTTAAAATAATCATACAGTATATATTTAAGTGTAAAATAAAAAACGTTTCGTTGATAAAAACGAAGTGGTTTTCGATTTACTGTGATTTTAGTTAATAACCAAACTTCCCACGAAAAATCGCCCGCTGCACGCGGTAAGTTGCCGGCGAAGTATACCCGCATACCAAGTGTTAATATAGGCCATACGGAACGATAATCTGAACGTAAACAAACAAGGCCAAACATTGACCGTGGTATTTTCGCTAAAACTCCGGAGAGCCGATATAACAATCTTCTAACACTAAAAGCGCTAATAATGAGACACCCTATGTAAGCAGGAAAATAAAGTAATACGTCATCGGTAAGTTTCGGTACCTAGAGCAAACGTAGGTTAGATTGCCGCTGTTGGATTATTAATAAATAATCCTTCACAAAACTGAATCTAACAGTGAGAAACACTGTCCATTGTCTGTAGTCGAAGACCGTATTGGCACCATCGGTTCTAGGGGCCTGGATCTCTCTTTGTCATCGAAGGCAAGGGAAATAAACACGATTAAGGCAATGGTTTCTTTCTTTTTAAGGGGGTCTTCTACTGTGTCGGGTCAAAAAAATTCATTTTTTTTTTTTACATGAATAACATCTAAAACTCATGTAGAATACGTGGCTAAATGGATTTTTTGAAATTCGATGCCGTTCAGATGTTGTAGGCGTAGAACGAAATAGGTGTTCGGAGCGCGCTGGTGGCGGGTGCTGTCGTGCGTTCCTCCTCAATATTATGTCATTCTTCGGTCATGTACTTGTGTTTATTATGATTTCTGCTTATGAACGACCGAGTCTTTTTTCATATCAGACGCAATTGTGACAATTGACAATTACATATGCGAACAATCACGAACTTTCTAAGTACGTTCGCTTAGTCGGCGCAGTACGCGACAATTGTTGATATTTCGAGAAACTGAAAACTCCAAAACTCCAATTCCACGAAGAATGGTTATCGAGCCACAAGGATTGTTCCATAAATCATATTGGCAGCTCTGGTAAAATGGAAATTGACGCTATTATTGAAATGTTTTCACGTTCTATGGAGAAACATGGCGTAAAGTACCTAACATACATTGGAGACGGAGATAGCAAAACATTAAAAGGTATTTTGAATGCTAATCCGTATACAGATGAAAAACAAGTTGTGAAAAAGGAGTGCGTAGGTCATGTGGAAAAGAGGATGGGCACGAGACTTCGCAACATTAAAAAAAATCACTAGGGAATCGGTGGAAAAGGACACGGTAAACTAACTCAAAAAGTCATTGGTGAATTGACGAATTTCTATGGCTTAGCCATACGACGGCATCCTGATTCAACAGATGATACGAAGAGAGAGATTTGGGCTTCTTTTTATCACTGCAGTTCTTCTGATGATAATCCGCAGCACGATTATTGTCCGAAGGGTGAAATCAGCTGGTGCAAGTGGCGTAAAGCAGAAGCTTTAGGACTCCTCAAGAATTTTAACCACTCTAGAGTTCCTTTAAAAAGTCAAGTTTTAGAAATAACTAGCATTCCCCATCTCGGCTTCGCCCGATCTTGTGCAAAAGCAATTTATGACCAGACGATCGTCCTGACATATATATCCGCGATAATGCAATTCTCTCGCGAGAAAGCGCTCGAGAAGCTTCGCCACCTGGCGGTAACATCGCAGTACTGCTACGGGCGAGGTATCGCACGGGCCGAATACGCGCATGCGCGCGCAAGTAGACTGTCGTATACAGGGGTCACGTGGTCTGCCAAACAGTCGTACACATGAAATCTTTGCATATAAATTACATGTTAATAACGCGCTTCTGAGCCACGCTACATAGCCTATGTCCGTTCTAGAGTATGCACGAATAACGTGTCAAAATTTGAGGAAGATCGGTTCAATAGGTCTTGAGTTTTGCGCGAACATAAAAATCGGCTCTCTCTTTATATAATAGCCATTATTTAACACCATCATAAAAGTGCGCGTATAACGCATATTCGTAGAAATTTTTCGATGTTTTTTTTTTATAAACCATCAGTGAAAGTAGACCTTTCCAACGCATGTACTCTTTTGAAAATCGGTTGAGTGGTTCTCGAGTTATAAAATCACGAACATAGGACAACTTATTTTTATATATATAGATTAAGCCGATTTACGAAGACTTATCAAAAGATGATTTATTAATCGGATGCTTGGGAGCTGAGACCCAAAATAATAACGAGTCATTGAATTCCCTAATTTGGACATTCGCCCCAAAACACATTCATTCTGGGCCTAAGGTGGTTGAAATAGCTACTTTTTTGGCAGTCATCATTTTTAACGATGGATTTGAAGGAGTATTAAAAATTATGGAAACATTGGGATTGAAAATTGGCACCAATTCTTGCAAAATCGTCTGACTTCGTAAAAAAATCTCGGATTCAAAATCGAGAAGAAAATTCACTTCTGCATGACTTCCAGGAAGAAACTGAAGGTGTACTGTATGGTCCAGGCATTGCAGATTAACGGTAAGTAAAATTATCTTTGTGTCATACGTACTTGAACTTCAAACGCGTTTTTCTCGAAACGCATTTTCTTGAAGCGGCGCCCACGATATCTCAAAAAGTCTTCAACCGATTTCGCTATAATTTCGTACACATCTTTCATACACCTCTAGTTTTCGTGTGAACTAGGATAATTGAAATATTTTACTAATTTCTTGTTCTGTAGCTTAAAAGGTTGAAAAAAAAAATACGAAGAATTGACTTTTTTCTTAAAAGCTTTGTCAAATGTTCAAATTTGAATATTTTTATTTAATTCTAGTTCACACGATAGCCATAGATCTACATATTAAAATGCTGTTTGATTTTTCAATTTCAGATGAATAAACAATCGTCGATCATGGGCGCCATCCGTCAACATTTTTTATACATGGTCATCATTCCAGTGCTATAAAGCTAATTATTGTTATTATTATGCTTTACAAAAATTTGTAAACAAAGTTCAATAATTAATACACTCGATATAAAAGTTATAACTGTGTGTGTTTCTATTATTCCTCAAAAAAAATTCCGAAAGAAAGTTGAAAAAAACAGCCTTCACGGTAGAAGACCCCCTTAAGTGGACGCCAGTTTTCCTTTTTAGGGGACCTAAGCGACGCGTCACTTCTTGTTCAGTTTTAGCAGAGTGAAGACGTCCTTCTAAACCAAAGAATAAACTTTCATTTAGTAAAAGAAGGACTTACTACTTTCTCACCCAAATCCAATAGCCGCCAATAACGCGGCGATCTCTCGATTCTCTTGGCACGTAAAACGACGACAATAAAGACAGTTCAGGTAAGAACTTACCTGAGGGATATTCGCGTTAAGCTGACGATTCAACGAGTCCCGTTCCTTTTCGACCTCTTGCAGCCGCGCTTCCGTTTCCTGCAGTCGTTCCTGACTCTCGCGTAACGATGCCACCAACTTGTCCCTCTCGTCTAGCATCGAGACCATCAGCTGCTCGAAGTTCGCTTCCTCGCTGGAGAATTGCGAACTTCGCTGGCTGATGCTGTCCTCCGCGATAGTCGGCATAACGTCGCACATCATATTCCACATTTTGCGTGTATCCTAATTCTATCACCCTTGGGACACTTGAAAACTCCACTCGAAACGCACCGCGATCGAGAATCAAAATCACAGACACTCGCGATACCTTTTAGTCCGATTTCGATCTCTTTAATTAGTCATTTTCCTCGTTCCTTCGATCTTGTTGCGTACCTAGTCCGATAAACTAATTTTACTTTAAGGAATACCGACTACCTTCGCAGAGAATTTTTTCTTCCGTTAACTAGCTCGAATAACCGTTCAACAGTTTCGCGTAGCCGGCTGCGAGCCGACTCACCGTAATCGAAACTCATGTCTCATTTTCACCACCGTGCGTACCATTCTTACGTCCATGTATATTGTTGTTTACGGAAAGGGATAATCGATGCGTTGGCTCACGAGGCGATCGCAGACGAGTAAGTGAAGCCCCTTTGAAAAATCGATCGATAACTTGGAAAACTCGAGCCCCGTAACACGCGATCGGATAGATCGATATACGGACCCCGTTCGTCTGCCAAGTAAGTTTTGACAGATCACGAAGAGGATTCGCCGGACACAGTGCACGCAGCGCACCGCTTTTGATGTCTTATGCACCTACCCGACACACGAACCCTTCCCTTTCCATTTCGTCTTTTTTTCGCATTCGTACCATCTACTTTCAATCGAAACACCTCGATGCGGATCTGACACCCACGGAGCGCGCTCGGCTCTCTCCCGGAGCCGGGCAGGCGTGACTGACAACCGTGGAGAATCGACGATCACTCGGTACGCCACCGTATACTTTCCACTTCGATCTCGTTCAGACGTAGTTTCGCCATATCTGTAGAACACTTGTGTATCGCTGATAAAATTCGCGACGTATGGAGTAGACGAAGCTCTGTCCCGGGTCAGAGACTCTGCACCGTTCAATTTCGCCCTCCTGCGAGAATTTCCCGATTTATCATCTCACCATTCGAGACTCGGTTGACGGAACGATTCCGATCGTACGTACGAGCACTGCGCGAAACGCGGATCACCGTGCAACAATCGGCATTTCGATGGCATTATCGCGGTGAAGCCGAGCACTGACACACCTACGAGTTCGTTCCTACCGCCCAGCCTCTATGCTACTCCATTTCCGATACTGGCGGCCATCTTGCGCCTTGACGTCACCCTCCGTTCCCGAAGGCGCGCCCGACTCCACCCGAGCGCCGGACGACTCTGACCGACCAGTCATGTTTACAACCAAGCGGTAGGATCGATGATCGTTTAGGCCGAGTCCCCAACAACGAGCTCGTCTCGAAACGGAGCGGGAGATTTAATTTTCCCTCTGCTTTTACCTACGCACAGAAATAAAATGTAAATAAAATATTATCGATAAAGTAAAATAGCATTTCATTTAAATTATAACGCAGTAGAATTGGAAATAAAATATTTATAACCATTAGTTTTTAATACGCTTAAAATTTATATTACAGAGTGCATTTGTTCAATTTATTTTAAATGTCAATTACTTAATTACAAATTTTGAAACAAAGTAAACGTTTAATTAATATTCAAGTCTCTTCAAGAAAAATTCGAAATGCAACAGATATTTCAATTACAATAAAGAGAAATTTTACAAAGATTCATTACATAGATTAATGGCATTGATCTCTACGTTTCGTCAAAGTTTAAGAAACAGCTGATATGGACAATTTTATTTTGTAAATTCGACGATGTTTATCACGGCAATTTTGATCGAGGTGAAAGAATAGAAGGCTTATCTTCCCGAAATACGGAGACTGCGCTAGAACGTGGGATGCTGGATGATCAATACCAACCGCTGTGTCAGATTCTGGACCACAGAATACAGTGGAGAGAGACAGAAGCGAGCATCATGAAAACAGTGACGCATACTTGCATACCAGGAGCTACCGGTAAGTGGGCCAATTTTGATCCAGAACACCCCCAAAAGGTGTAAAATTAACAAAACTTTTGTGTCTCAATAGAAATATTATATTCTAAATGATTTACTTTTCTTATCCCTATATCATCCTAAAAATTACAAATTAAATTTCTATTTATTTCTCTATTCTATTTTGCGAATAATTAATACAACAAAGTGTCATGCTTCAAAAATATCTCTGAAATAAAAAAAATTTTTTCTTGGGAGTGTTTCGGGGAAACACCAACGCGACTGACATCTTTAAAACTTCTCTGTTCACCCGATAACTCTGCATTTGTCCAAGTTTTAGATCTACCTGGAGAGGATTCAATCGAGGATATCGCTGAATCAGTAGACGAGCTGCGCGAAAAATTGGCGAATATGAAAAAATTGATGGAAGAACGAAAAGGCACAACCTTGGGCGAGATAAGCGCCAAGAAGAGAAAAGAGACTTTAGATATCATAGATGGGAATTTTCTGTCTTGGATATTCGGCTCGGCATTAATCGTCATCCTGAGCGTCAGTTTCTACGCCTTCTATAATCTCTATCATGCGGTTTTGAAGAAATTCCCATCTCATCACACGGAACTTTAAAGGATAGGTGGTTCTTGGTTTTCGTTGACAATCTCTACGTATTCTTTCGCATAATAATTAACGTAGTCATGATTTTCAGAGAATGTTGGCGAATCCTTACGATCAGTTTTGATGAAACTTACGATACAAGTAACAAAACGTACGTACGACTTTTTCAATCGTCTTGAATGTACTCTTCCATATCAACGACTGATAAGCGAGAGATTATCCATGGAATAAGTCTAGAACATGTTCCGTCACTCTTAAAGAGAATTACTAGCGATTTCACTTGATCTCGTTGAAAATTTCAGCAAAATCTTGTGAAGATTCTGAAGTAAAGTGATTTATTGAGAAGATACTAGAAAATCGAATAGCAGCAAAAATGTTCCTTTCGCATAAGTTCGAGGACTTTTAACAAAAATTTTATAGAATTCTTTCCGATCGAAAAATGCTTCTTCTTAGTTAAACCGGTTTCTGCATGCATCTTACGAATAGACATAAAGTTTGCCATCTGATGGCAGTTTCACGTAAAAATCCATTTATTGAAGAACTGCTACGTTACGCATTGGAAAAAAACCAAGTGCCTTAAAACAACATTCCACGATATACATTCCTGTACGTTCGCATGTACAGAATAGGCACAACTTGATGGTTATACAGGCACTTATAACGAATTACCCGAATAATTATTTTGATTTTGGATGCAGAAGAAAGTGGTTCGGATAAGAGTTTCGATCGAGAAATCACAGTTATTATTTCAAGTTGATCGTAAAAAATGAGGCTTTAAAGTGGCTCGTTTTGAACGCCTCTCTTATAGCGCTTCACAAAATACTCTCTTATACTTTTGATACTTGTCTTTTACCGAACACAGGTGATTTGTTCTATAGTATTATCGTTTAATATATTCAGTTATATCTTCCTAGCATTTTACTTCGGTATGAGAAATAAGAGTATTGATTAGAGAGTATCACCGATGTCGCAAGTGATATTCAGTTAATTGATAGTACAGATGCAACGAACTTATTTATTTACGCATTTTTTATTTCTTTTTTTTATTAAGAATTTTAAGATCCAATCAAAGTCCGATCTTCTATCTTTAATATCAGTTTTCATTGTGCACTTACACTTGAAAAATGTTCATATCATTCTTTATTTCAATGTACATATACCTATTATAAATACTAAATAAAGTTACGAATATCTTCTGAATTATTCAATCCAAACTTAACCCTCGACGAAACAACGTACAATCGCGTCTTTTTAATTACTCGTTTTCAGTTTTTGCCTTTTAATACGAGAAACAATACTGCGAACAGTTATCGAAAAATCACTATTATGTACATCCAAGAATGCGGTGAAATTTTTCATTTTAAAGCGAGACAACTCACACGTGGTTGTCTTGACTTTCCACTGCTCGGGGCTACAACCAATTAATGTGATCAATGTTACGAAAAAAAAAGAAATTTGTTCAAAAATATATCTTATTAACTTACAAAATAAAGCTTTTTTGTGTTCTAACTCCTTGGTAAAATTGTTTAACATTTTTTGATAATCTTCTTGTTGCTGGAATGTCGATATCGATTTTTCGTTATATAATAATTTTGAATTTTTTATTTACTTTTTAATTTAACACTAGATTGCCCAAGGAAGTCATTTTGACTGCATTTTAATTTCAATTAGAAAAACAATTATTTATATAATGACACAATTTCTTAGAATTTTGTGACTTTTTGTACAACATATAAATGCGTTTATTAATAATTGTAGTTACCTCTCCCCTCCTTCATTTCCGGTATATATATATATATATATATATGTGTTATACCTATATTGCCCAAAAAAGCAGTCATTTTGACTGCTTGGGAAATTTTAAATAATCAAATCACTCTTATTATTGAATTGAGTAAATTTCTTATATGACCAGATCGACTCTGTATTGAAATAACAGTTTTCATTTTTTTACGATTACCAACACATGATAACATACAAGTACATGATAAATTGTCGATTTGGGCTTACCTAACCCAGACCTAACCCAGATCTAATCCAGATCTAATCCAGACATAACCCAGACATAACCCAGACCCTAGATCTGGGTTAGGTCTGGATTAGATCTGAGTTAGATCTGAGTTAGGTCTGGGTTAGGTCTGGATTAGATCTGAGTTAGCTCTGGGTTAGGTCTGGATTAGATCTGGGTTAGGTCTGGATTAGATCTGGATTAGATCTGGGTTAGGTCTGGATTAGATCTGGGTTAGGTCTGGGTTAGGTCTGGATTAGATCTGAGTTAGATCTGAGTTAGCTCTGGGTTAGGTCTGGCTTAGATCTGAATTAGATCTGGGTTAGGTCTGGTTTAGGTCTGGGTTAGGTCTGGGTTAGGTCTGGATTAGATCTGAATTAGATCTGAGTTAGGTCTGGGTTAGGTCTGGATTAGGTCTGGCTTAGATCTGAATTAGGTCTGGTTTAGGTCTGGGTTAGGTCTGGGTTAGGTCTGGGTTAGGTCTGGATTAGATCTGAATTAGATCTGAGTTAGGTCTGGGTTAGGTCTGGATTAGATCTGAGTTAGCTCTGGGTTAGGTCTGGTTTAGGTCTGGGTTAGGTCTGGGTTAGGTCTGGATTAGATCTGAATTAGATCTGAGTTAGCTCTGGGTTAGGTCTGGCTTAGATCTGAATTAGGTCTGGTTTAGGTCTGGGTTAGGTCTGGGTTAGGTCTGGGTTAGGTCTGGATTAGATCTGAATTAGATCTGAGTTAGGTCTGGGTTAGGTCTGGATTAGATCTGAGTTAGCTCTGGGTTAGGTCTGGATTAGATCTGAATTAGATCTGGGTTAGGTCTGGTTTAGGTCTGGATTAGATCAGAGTTAGATCTGAATTAGATCTGGGTTAGGTCTGGTTTAGGTCTGGATTAGATCAGAGTTAGATCTGAGTTAGGTCTGGGTTAGGTCTGGATTAGATCTAAGTTAGATCTGGGTTAGGTCTGGATTAGATCTGAGTTAGATCTGGGTTAGGTCTGGATTAGATCTGAATTAGATCTGGGTTAGGTCTGGTTTAGGTCTGGTTTAGGTCTGGGTTAGGTCTGGGTTAGGTTTGGATTAGTTAATAATCCAAATTATCTTAACCCTTTGCACTCCTATGTCGAGTGTGATTCGACATCAATTTTGATCTCAGGAGCACCTTCGTCAAGTCTCACTCGACATTCTTTCAAGTCCAAACCAAACAGATATCATACACTTGGAAATTACAAAATACAACAACAGTGTAAATAAAACACTTATTTTAACAGGTAAATTTCAAATAAAACACTTAAAAGCATTGTTCGTCAACTCCCATTCGACATTTTTTCGAGTCCAAACCAAATCATACACTTGGAAATTACAAAATACAACAACAGTGTAAATGAGACCTAACCCAGACCTAACCCAGACCTAACCCAGATCTAATCCAGACCTAACCCAGATCTAATCCAGATCTAATCCAGACCTAACCCAGATCTAATCCAGATCTAATCCAGACCTAACCCAGATCTAATCCAGACCTAACCCAGACCTAACTCAGATCTAATCCAGACCTAACCCAGATCTAATCCAGATCTAATCCAGACCTAACCCAGATCTAATCCAGATCTAATCCAGACCTAACCCAGACCTAACTCAGATCTAATCCAGACCTAACCCAGACCTAACCTTGACGTATTGATAAATTACAGTTTCTCAATAAGCTAAAGTAGTACTTGTTATTCGAATCTTTATGCAGTGATACTTGTTCTAACAAGTTGTTTATTTTATTTCTGCGCCCTAAATTCATAATATTATACCATAATATTAAAAATTAATTTTAAACAAATTTCTTTACACATTATTTATTCTTTCACGATGCAGTCATTTTGACTGCTTTTGGGCAATATAGGTATATACTAAGTTTCAGTCTTTCGAGTGTTAATAAAATTAGCTACCTTCAACGCTTCGTTCCTAAAAACCTCTCGTCGAACCGACAAACTCGAAATTTGATTTTGCAACGTTTTTACCTACCAAAACATGTAAAAGCGCATAAAACTGTAAATTATTTCATTTTTCACCGATAAAATGTAATCTAACCTCTTCCTCCGTTTTTCGAACATCCTTTTTCAAGTCCGACATCAACGATTTGTATCGGTCACGACATGACGACGTCTTTTGCTCTAAATCTGACAAAACTTTCTCCGCACTTTTTATTTCGTAATGCGATTGCTGTAACTATATTTGTCAAGGAAATAATGATATTTTACATTGTTTATCTAAAGAGATTATTATGAAATTATTGTCGCTCACTACACGTTCTTTTTCTGTAAGCTTTTCCGTTAACACTTCTAAATTATCGTCCACGATTTCACGGACCTGAAACGATCGATTAAGTATCGAAAAATGGAGTAATGTAATATACCAGTGATTTGTAACCTTTTATTTATCACGGACCTCTTTTAAACAAGTTTTTGTTGCCACGGCTACCAAAACTTAAATCAAGATTTTATTTGTTACGTGCATTAAATACAGTGAGCGTCAATGTAAAGTTAACGCTTGAAATTTTCAACTTCTCTTTGAAATAATTTAAAAGGTATGAAAGAAAATAGAAAAAAGGTGTATGGTATTGAAAGCTTAATTTGTCTTTTATAAAAAACATATATTTTGTTTAGTAATAATTTAACAATAAGCAAACATATAATGTGAAGAACAAAAAAACTCCCTTCTCCTTGAGTCAATATAAAGTACATATAGGTATTGTGGCGTCGCTTCCCATGCTCGCCACCAGAGGGTTCGCGCTCTCACAAGCGCTCGACTGAGCCCTCGATTGCTACATATGTATGTATATTACGTTCTGCTCAATTAAAAATTATGAAAAAAATCATGGTTATTCTATCGATCGATGTACATATTCAAGAATTTTTTCAGAATTTTTGGATGCAAATTCGATTTTTAAAAAATTCGAAAATATTTTAACCGGCAATTTTTTGTCGAAGTTATCAAGTGACCACGTTTGTTTTTATACAGTATAAAACTCCCAAAAGAATTAGTAATCTCTAATTTTTTCAGATTTTTCAAAGGGGTGGAACGTAGTCAAAAAAATAAAAAATTATAAAAAAATAGTGAAAAAGCTTTATATTGCCTTAATTACTTGCGTGACCATGTTCATATTTTTACAGGTATAGCGTGACATTGTGACTATTAATGCGTAAGTTTTTCAGATTTTTCAAAGGGGTGAAATCTAGTCAAGAAAATAAAAAATGATTAAAAAATGGTGAAAAAGCTTTATATTGCCTTAATGACTTCCGTGACCATGTTCATATTTTTACAGCTATAGCGTAACATTGTGACTATTAATGCGTAATCTGAAAAAATTTCGCATTAATAGTCATAATGTTACGCTATAGCTGTAAAAATATGAACATGGTCACGCAAGTAATTAAGGCAATATAAAGCTTTTTCACCACTTTTTAATCATTTTTTATTTTTTTGACTACGTTCCACCTCTTCGAAAAATCTGAAAAAATTAGAGATTACTAATTCTTTTGGGAGCTTTATACTGTATAAAAACGAACGTGGTCACTTGATAACTTCGACAAAAAATCGCCGGTTAAAATATTTTCGAATTTTTTAAAAATCGATTTTGCATCCAAAAATTCTGAAAAAATTCTCGAATATGTACATCAATCGATAGAATAGCCATGATTTTTTTCATAATTTTTAATTGAGCAGGACAGGAGATATTAAGGATAAAGCAAAAAATGATTTTCACCCTGTAATTACCCCCGTAGAAGAGATACTGAATTGAAACTCTGTGAAAGGGGGTTTTTTCGAACCACCTATCGAGTGGTATTAGACCCTTTGTCTCACATCGCTCTCATTCAGTTTTTTTGGTCACCGTTTATGACCAATATTACTTAATAATCCAAGATTATTATATCTAACAATGACTTTATCACAGCCACATGGCTTCGTTGCACAACTTTAGCAATTTCTCTTAACACATTGACTGCCACGTCACCCATATATGGATGACAGAACTTTTAACAGTGGAACTAAAACAATGATTTCTCAAGTTGAAATGTTAAAGAAAATCAATTTTAACACTTTAACGACCGCTCACACAACATGTGTGTGATGCTGCCGCCGAAGGTTGTTGGCCAGTACCACACTCTTTGTGTGATAATTTATGAATGTAAACAAGCGTGGATATTACTATTGGCTTCGTATTTCATCGCCACGTCTTTGATTTTAGGTAATTATTGCCAATTTTTAATTTTTGATTTTAAACTACAGCGGTGTACCACGTAAATTATGGAACAAATGTCGGCGGTCAGAGATGCCAGAAAAGCACCGCCGGGTGCACACGCATACATGCCAGATACGCGTACGTGAGCTCGTGGAGTTTCGGAAAGTCGACAAAGGCAAACTGACGCATGCCCTCTTTCTCGATTCTCCGAAGCTGCCCGAAGTAATTTCGGATCGCCTCGTGGGAGTCGAGAGAGAAAGGCTCACATTTGCCTTCTCGCTCTAAACAACTGAAATCCGACCTCCCGTCAACGGCATACGATTTGGATTCTCGAGCCGAGATTCTCGACTGCCCAGGCATTTTTACTTTCCGACCTATGTAGGCGCACATAAGCAAAGTACCCATAATGAAAAAAAAATTTTGTAAAATTTATTTTACGGAAATACACGTTTTAAGACCTCCTGATCATATTTTAATTATTGAAAAAAAAGAAATTTTTTTTTATTCCCATGTATGAGCACACATATGTATATTATTAATACGATTTAATATAAATAGCTGAATGAATTTAAATGAAACTTTACATTTAAGTTTTATGTTCTCATTTCAAAGGCGTGTGGACGGATTCAAATACGTGAACACTAAACGTAACGATGTAATTATATTATTTAATATTTACTAACTATTTAACATAAAGAACATAAAAGAAAGACATAAAACGTAAACGTAAAAGATCATAAACGTAAAACTGTGATTGCTCTCGACTAACGTTCGATACAGAGTGACGTTCCTGCAGTCAAAGTCGACCCTTCCTTATTCCTATCTTATAATAATGATCTAAACAAAACGCACGTTCGAGACGCAGTCTCTAAAACGTATTTCAGCTTAAACCTAAACACCTCACTCGATACCTACTCTAGCTTAGACTAAACACTCCTATCGACGCAAACGATAACGGTTCTCCTAGCCACACACATGCACTCCTTACAGATTATACCTCTTGTTTCATAGTTGTTCCGATATATAGGCATAATGTATATAAAATCTTTTAAATGTTTCATATAAATCTTAGGACGAATTAAATTTTATAAACTTTTTCTCTATCTTCTCTAGAAAAGAAAACATTAAATGAAATCTTATACATTACATGCTTACTTAAATCGCATTGAAAACGAATACCACAAATGTTTTAGAATAATGTGCAAAATGTGATTGCGACTTTCGCTAAGACAAATTGAAAACTCGTTTCTAACAAGGAAAAGTTGGAATGGTACCAGGTTTTGGGTTAGGTTTTACTTTGAGATATTATTAAAGTTATTACAGGTACTTATTTTCAGAAATAGAACTATGTTCACCACTAATCAGCGTGGCGTGAGTGATGAGGTCTTTGCCTGCAAGTTCCGAACTTCTTCTGCTCTGCTGGTTCGAACCCTGGTTGAACTTTTTTTTTTTATTTTTTCAATCATACTTTAATCGTACACTAAATATGACATTATATTTTTGTCTGGCCTTCGAATATTTTTTTTTTTAAAGTTAAATTTAACCGATTACATTTAACATATGTTATTTTCAATGTACGAAGTACATGAATCTGGATGGTACTTTTCACAAAAACAGTCAAAACATAAAAATTTCAAGCACCACGTACATTTACTGAAAGTTTTGTTTTCACAGAAATTACAAAATTTTGTATTTAACTCTGATGGAAAGGCCGCTTCATTTACATTGATAAAATGTGAACGATTTTCGGATAGTCGTACCTTGTAACACGTACTTTTTACCTTATACTTCAGGTAAAAAGGGATATAGCTGGGAAAAACAGTTTTATGACATTACCTGCTAACTTATGTTACTGTTCTACAATGAAACGCTATGTTTTGTACCTTTAAAAATATTCGTCTATGTGCTTTTAAAATTTAAGATACAACCCATACTTTGTATTAAACTGGCAAACGGGACCACTTTTCCTTTGTTTCTAGTTAGTTCTATTTAGTTCGTCATAACCAATTGATACGGTTATTTCAAAACAATCGAGGAAAATCATTATTAATTAATTTCTGCAATTATTAATTCTACTGTTTTGTTTATGTTATAAAAGTAAGAACTCTTCTTATTGAAAAATACCACAGCGTGCACAATACTGGTAAAGAGTGGAATCTCATTTTAATTTATTAATTTTCAATCTTAAAGTATTTTGATTTTCAAAAATCGTATTAATAATATACATATGTGTGCTCATACATGGGAATAAAAAAAAATGTCTTTTTTTTCAGTAATTAAAATATGATCAGGAAGTCTTAAAACGTGTATTTCCGTAAAATAAATTTTACAAAATTTTTTTTTCATTATGGGTACTTTGCTTATGTGCGCCTACATAGGTCGGAAAGTAAAAATGCCTGGGCAGTCGAGAATCTCGGCTCGAGAATCCAAATCGTATGCCGTTGACGGGAGGTCGGATTTCAGTTGTTTAGAGCGAGAAGGCAAATGTGAGCCTTTCTCTCTCCACTCCCACGAGGCGATCCGAAATTACTTCGGGCGGCTTCGGAGAATCGAGAAAGAGGGCATGCGTCAGTTTGCCTTTGTCGACTTTCCGTAACTCCACGAGCTCACGTACGCGTATCTGGCATGTATGCGTGTGCACCCGGCGGTGCTTTTCTGGCATCTCTGACTGTATTACATACTTTAACTTACTACTAATAATAAAGGGTTTTTGTGAAATGGAAACATATTTTTTATAGAAGACAAATTGAGCTTTCAATACCATACACCTTTTTCCTGTTTTCTTTCATAGCTTTTAAATTATTTCAAAGAGAAGTTGAAAATTTCAAGCGTTTACTTTATATTGACGCTCACTGTATGTACATATGTATAATGCGTGTCATAAATATACCAATCCATCTATATTTAAGTATTTCGATAATTTAAGAAAAGGTTATGACGACGTGTCATTCTAGAGTAATGTATAATATTATTTAACTAATTGAAATAAAAAAATTATGACACTTTAGTGCATACAACAGAAATGGTTACATAAAAATAAAAATAATTTTCAAGCTATATTTCATTCTTTTGTTTTCCTATTATATGTCTTATTTAGCGTCCCTCGGAGTCCATTGTGTGATTTAGGTTAATAAAATTTGTAATATATACATGTTATTAAGTTTGAAATAGAAAATGCTTTTTGGCAAACATCTGTTAGATAGAGAAATAGTCACGATTGAAACTTTCCGTAAGAAAGACACTACATAGGTATGATGTAGCAAAAAAAATTGGTCTTTCAAAAAGGGCAATTGCCGATTACATTATTAAAAGACGTAATCATGGACAGAGGAAGCATCCAAGGGTATATTCCTAGCAAACGGCCCGTTCAACAATCATTCCCAATCATGGTAATTTTTCACAGTGATTCGTGATTCTTCGTGATCGCTTTTGATTGGTAGGGAGCGTTCTTTTCACTTTTCACGAATTATGCCCTTAAGATATGCAATTAAGCAGACTTTTTCATTGCTTGGACTATATTACTATACAATTTAAATTTGGCGCATTTGTAGTTCTTTAAATTTCCACTGAGGGGAGTCAGCGGAACACTAACGATCACAGTTAACGTGAACTGCTACTAAAACGCCATCTGTCGGATCACGGCCGCGAATGGAGTTTAATCACGAGCGTGATCGTGATTTTGTGATCACTGTGATAAATCACTGTTAGTGATTTTGCACGCCATCCCTAGTGAGTAATGCACCCGATGCTGAATCTGGCCTCTTTGATCGCAGTCGCCAATCGATCGGGGTATTATATGACATTTGAATGGTCATTGTTTCTAATATTCGGATTCGGATTTCTAATAAGTTTTGCATGACATCTCATGCTTGCTTCACTATGCATTTTATAGTTTTTATATCCATTATAAACTATTACTTAATTCTAATTTTCTAACTTACTATAATCCGACCTCAAGAATAAGTGAAGCTTCCGTTCTAAGTGTTTTCATTCATTGTTCGAGTTACGGACGTAACGTCAACGTAACACCATAAAACATGTTGGCGTTGCGCGCCAATGCAAATAGATATCAATAATGTGTTCGAATAATGTATCAACGAAACATTAGTACGTTATAATTTCGTATTTTTGTTATAATTTCATAGTTAAGAGTCTATGTTTGTATAACGTTTTTTCTTAATTTTGTTTATACGGTATATTGGCAAAGTTTTGTCCTGTTTCATTTTAAAAAACCATATCGTGTGAGCAGGATATAATAAAATTGTCGAGATATTTCGATTCTCGAACCGATACTGTAAAACGATCGTTCTAAATGAAAACTGCGCCTACATAGGTCGGAAAGTAAAAATGCCTGGGCAGTCGAGAATCTTGGCTCGAGATTACAAATCGTATGCCATTGACGGGATGTCGAATTTCAGTTGTTAACAGCGAGAAGGCAAATGGGAGCCTTTCTCTCTCGACTCCCACGAAGCGGTCCGAAATTACTTCGGGCAGCTTCGGAGAATTGAGAAAGAGGGCATGCGTCAGTTTGCCTTTGTCATTTGGAATCGTATGCCGATTATCGCGAGATCGTATTTCAGCTGTTACAAGAGCAAGAAGGAAAGACTCACATCAGCGTTCTTTATCGTTTTCCCGAAATTGTGCGAAGTGTCGAGCTCACGTACACGTGGCTCGTGCGGTAGTATATTCCTGCTATCCCCACTACTCCGTTAGACGCTAAGGAAGTTCGACGTCACTATTGTCGATTACGATCATGGACATAGGAATATAGGGACGGAGCAATAGTTGCGACTGTGGGCGAGGGGAGTGAAGCAGCTTTGCGGGGGGAAATCACGGTCACGTGGTACTCTCTGGTGCCGCATTAGTGATTGGTGCTATCCTAAATGCGCGAAATTTAAAAATGAAAGCTTTAGTTTCTTTAGAATTATAAATGTACGATAGAATATTTTTAGTAAACCAGAGACACAAAATGTTTTATTTATAAATCAACATACTGAAATGTTAATGGTGATTGAGATGTCAGAATTAAATGGTTAAAAGTTTGAATCTATAGATATGAAAAATCTTTATTACTTTCGTTTGATATTTAAATTTGCAACTACGCAATGAATTCAGTACGGTTTGCATTATTATTTGATGAGATCTGTCAATAAATAAAACATGACTATTTAGGAATAGATAGATATAACTACAAGGTTATCTTTCACTTTTTTCGACTTAAGAATATGATTTAACGAATTTTGCAACATATAACTTGCCATCGTAGAGTTAAATATTGGTCATAGTCTTATAATGCAATATTAAAATTTTTATTATAAAATGTTAATCTAATTCTCTAAATATTGGTAATTTATCCTTTAATAAATTATACAACTGTTAATATCTATTTTTCTATTGCATAAAGAGATTAGGGTGTATTATCAATCATTTTCATAACAATTCCTTCTTTCAATTTTATTATATATTATATGTACAATTATTGGCCATTAAACAAGATAAGCTTATTAAACACCTGTCTTTTTTAGAAAAAAAACTGTATAATTCACTGACGCTACTGCTCACAGTAATACCAGTCTACTCTTTCACTGCCTTTTACACTGCTTCTCACTCACTCTTACTCGACGAGAATAAGATTGCGCTTGCGCTATCACAACCAATCGCCAATGCGGCATCAGAGTACCACGTGACCATAGTTTGCAGCTCCCCGGAGCTGCTTCGCCCCCCTCGACCATTGCTCCGTCACTATATTCCTATGTCCATGATTACGATGCGCTCAATATGGCCGATCTGGCCACACTGGTGGTTGCGCTTACTAGCGAAGGTGGCAGCACCGCGGAATTTCCCAAGGTTCTAGGTCGACAGCGTGACCAGCCAATGGTCGCTTCTCCTTGCATCTAAGACCCTTGGGGAACTCAGGGTTTATGACACTAGGCGATTCACCATCGGGGCCGTTAACAAATTCTTACTACGGACATGCTTTTTAAATGCTCTAATTACAGAAACGGCTTTCTCACAGACAGCTTCGCTTTTTTATACTTGTACGGCTAGCCGCTACAAAGATAATGAAGCAATTCATAGATCAACCCATACTTTACTCTGGCTTCTAAAATAAATATTTTGTAATAATCAACAATTTTCAAACATTCATGAATTAAAACTTGTGATTATTGAAGGTTGGAATAATATAGTTGAAAGTATTATAAAAAATCTTCTTGCCAGTATACAAAATTGAATGTTTGATATATTCTGTGTTAGGAGGAAATCTAATGAATTATTAAATTTTTGTTTTTGTACGTAAGATTTGAATTAAAATGAGTTTTTTTAAAATTCGTGTACTTATGAAATACTGATAAAATAGTATTGAATATTGATTTCTATGGGGCTATTTAGCAATGTAAAGTACTATCATGAAATTCCTTAAATTTTCAGGAGTTGGTACACTTATGATACGCACTGTATATTCAAAATACAACCTTCAAACTCGGAGGAAGAATTATTGTAAATAAAAAAAAATACAACCGCAGCGTTAAATGTGCGTCCATACAAATAAATATCACGTGTATTTTCAATGATTTACTTGCGTATGCGAGGACTTTGCGACCCCAGAGGTCCGCGAATTATAGGTTAAGAACCATTGCAATATAGCAACGCTTTGGTTAGCAATATATTTTTATTAAAAAATGATGTTTATAACTGACTTCAACTGGGAGTTCGGCTTCTAAGTTTTTGCTGTCAGGTGCGATCTGTGATAGACAATTTAAATTATTCAGTTGCGACGTGTACGATCTTGTGACATTACGAATATAGGAACGGTATTAAACTTACGCATTTTCTTAATTCCTCCGTTCGAGTTTGGTACTTCGTCGTATCATTAGTAATATTATTGGTTAGTTTAAAATACACGCATTTATAAAGAATAAAATAATATTCTTACCATTATCATAAGAAACGTGACGACGCAGTACACGACAAATACAAAAATACAGAATATTTCAAAGCTGTAAACAGCCAGCAGTACAAACCACATTACGAAAGATTTTTTACACTAATTTTAACAGGAAACGCACAAATTTACTACGAATATTATTTTATCAATAAAAATCGAAGATCGTGATGAACAATTAAAATGAATAACCAGATCGGAGATACGAACGCAGTTTTCATTTAGAACGATCGTTTTGCAGTGTCGGTTCGAGAATCGAAATATCTCGACAATTTTATTATATCCTGCTCACACGATATGGTTTTTTAAAATGAAACAGGACAAAACTTTGCCAATATACCATATAAACAAAATTAAGAAAAAACGTTATACAAACATAGGCTCTTAACTATGAAATTATAACAAAAATACGAAATTATAACGTACTAATGTTTCGTTGATACATTATTCGAACACATTATTGATATCTATTTGCATTGGCGCGTAACGCCAACATGTTTTATGGCGTTACGTTGACGTTACGTCCGTAACTCGAACAATGAATGAAAACACTTAGAACGGAAACTTCACTTATTCTTGAGGTCGGATTATAGTAAATTAGAAAATTAGAATTAAGTCATAGTTTATAATGGATATAAAAACTATAAAATGCATTGTGAAGCAAGCATGAGATGTCATGCAAAACTTATTAGAAATCCGAATCCGAATATTAGAAACAATGACCATTCAAATGTCATATAATACACCGATCGATTGGCGACTGCGATCAAAGATGCCAGATGCAGCACCGGGTGCATGACTCACTAGGGATGGCGTGCAAAATCACTAACAGTGATTTATCACAGTGATCACAAAATCACGATCACGCTCGTGATTAAACTCCATTCACGGCCGTGATCCGACAGATGGCGTTTTAGTAGCAGTTCACGTTAACTGTGATCGTTAGTGTTCCGCTGACTCCCCTCAGTGGAAATTCAAAGAATTATAAATGCGCCAAATCTAAATTGTATAGTAATGTAGTCCAAGCAATGAAAAAGTCTGCTTAATTGCATATTTTAAGGGCATAATTCGTGAAAAGTGAAAAGAACGCTCCCTACCAATCAAAAGCGATCACGAAGAATCACGAATCACTGTGAAACATCACCATGATTGGGAATGAACGTGATCGAGTCACACGAGTGATTCAAAAGTGGCTGTCACACCATCTCTATTCCCTACCAATCAAAAGCGATCACGAAGAATCACGAATCACTGTGAAACATCACCATGATTGGGAATGAACGTGATCGAGTCACGAGTGATTCAAAAGTGGCAGTCACGCCATCTCTACTCCCTACCAATCAAAAGCGATCACGAAGAATCACGAATCACTGTGAAACATCACCATGATTGGGAATGAACGTGATCGAGTCACGAGTGATTCAAAAGTGGCAGTCACGCCATCTCTATTCCCTACCAATCAAAAGCGATCACGAAGAATCACGAATCACTGTGAAACATCACCATGATTGGGAATGAACGTGATCGAGTCACGAGTGATTCAAAAGTGGCAGTCACGCCATCTCTATTCCCTACCAATCAAAAGCGATCACGAAGAATCACGAATCACTGTGAAACATCACCATGATTGGGAATGAACGTGATCGAGTCACGAGTGATTCAAAAGTGGCAGTCACGCCATCTCTATTCCCTACCAATCAAAAGCGATCACGAAGAATCACGAATCACTGTGAAAAATCACCATGATTGGGTATGAACGTGATCGAGTCACGAGTGATTCAAAAGTGGCAGTCACGCCATCTCTACTCCCTACCAATCAAAAGCGATCACGACGAATCACGAATCACTGTGAAAAATCACCATGATTGGGAATGAACGTGATCGAGTCACGAGTGATTCAAAAGTGGCAATTCACGCCATCTCTACTACTCATGCATGCCAGATCACGCGTATGTACGTGAGCTCGTAGAGTTTCGGAAAATCGACAAAGGCAAACTGACGCATGCCATCTTTCTCAATTCTCCGAAACCGCCCGAAGTAATTTCGGATCGCCTCGTGGGAGTGGAGAGAGAAAGGCTCACATTTGCCTTCTCGCTCTAAACAACTGAAATCCGACCTCCCGTCAACGGCATACGATTTGGATTCTCGAGCAGAGATTCTCGACTGCCCAGGCATTTTTACTTTCCGACCTATGTAGGCGCACATAAGCAAAGTACCCATAATGAAAAAAAATTTTGTAAAATTTATTTTACGAAAAAATTAAAAAAAAGAAAAAACTAAAATCAAATAAACAAAATCGTATAAATATAATTTTTCAGCAACGGCCAGGGGGGTGGAAGGCCTCGCCGGTGTTGCCTGGGGGGTTCGATCCTTGATTACTGAAACAAATGATCGACCAAATTAAATACGTGCGTGCACGTAATGTAAACACGCTCGTCAGCTGTTCGACTCGCTCTCCTAGCGACTATCGGTGCGCTCGGAGGGGGAGATCAGCTGTCGTTTAGCGTAATCTAGTGGACTGTATTTCGTTATTCGCGGATAGTTTTTTATTTAAACTATCGACGAGACTTTTGCCCTGAACAGATGAGACTGGACTCGATTCCGTCGGGGGCTCTGCGATGCCACGGACGGGTCACCAAATGGAGGTCGTAAGGCTCCAAGTGAGTGGGTCCCGTGAGCACGTTCACCGTGTTGGTGACGTATAAACGTCGCGCGAGGCGTGTTTTTCCTGCTACACTTTATATCTACTGTACAGCGACCGTTAATATCGGGGACTGCACAGTAAGCGAATTTATACAGAAAAACCTCGGGCTGGTCCAACCGCACTATAAAGCCTACCCGGCGACCGTATTCACGGGGACCGTATGTGGTAGGCGGCGTGACGGAAGGGAGGCGCTTTGAACCCGAACTCCGCCGTTGAGTGTACGGTCGACTCGTACACTGACGGGTTTTCGGAGAGGGTTCGCAGTGGCCTTTACACGGTAAACACTCCACGAGGCGGTACCGAACTATCGGTAGGACCTTTGGGAGGCTCCGAAGCCGTATAGCTTTAATGGGATTCTGGGTGCTTGCACCCTGAGGCCCTTACGTCGCGGTCGCGGCAACGACTGCAACGTACAATCACTTCCTCGCGCTCGCGGTCGCGTCACGCGCGGCGTGCACTACGACCACTTATGCGTTCGGTTGATTGTTTGTTCGAAATCTCTAATCGCAGCAACGATGAGAATTCTTTTACCGAAAGTCCAACATTAATTATTGCAGATAAGCGTTTCGCTTGTTCTGCGGAGCGCGTACTGAAGGAGCGAGATCTTCGGGGATCTGCTCCCGTTGGCAGTCGGCTCGTGAATAATCGAAAAATTCGTCGAGCATCGACAGACGAAGACTCGGTCGTGCCTTGTCGTCGCGACGTGGCGCTGTCGAGTCCGACCGTCGATCTCGTTTCAATAAATCGTATGGTTCTCTCTCTCGACGCTGACGTCACTAAGCCGTTTAAATGGCGTTTGAAGCGAATCTTCGCGTGAGGTCGGCGTACGAAAACACGTAAACGGCCGCGGTTTTAAACTGTCGGTGCGCCGAACGAACTCGGCGACCGCGTAACCTTCCGAAGTGTCACGTACACAAACAGATACGGGAATCGCGGTCGAGATTTATTCTTTCCCGGACGAACGCGATTTTAAATATATTTAACATATTTAAACAATTCTGAAAAAATTTTCTGACCAAGAGTAACTAAGGTCCACCTTAGTGCACACCGTTACGTGGTTCGGAATAACGTCATTTTCCCCATTATAAATAAACATATGTAAATATCTAACAAACATTGTTTTCAAAAGTTCAAAACATTTTCTGTAAAAAATTCATGAAAATACCGCTTATTTTAGGCCCGTCGAGGTGCTTAAACCCTTAAGTTGTAGAATTTCATTGCCATATATTACGAAAAAGGGTGAAAAGCGGAATCAAAATGAAGAAAAACCCAACGATTACAGATAACATTGTCGGAAAAAACTTTCCATGCAGGCATTCTGAATCGTAACCTCAAAGTATTTACTTCGAAAGTTTAAAGGAAGTTTTAGTTTCCGTCAAGCAATGATACTTCTTTTATATGTATATTTATAATCAACAAAGAAAAAAACTGATTGTGATTGTCTCGAAAAGAATGTTATTGATCAAAAGTGGATAAGTAAAAAGTAAAATTCCTCTGTACGTACTACGAATATTTTGCTTAGTGGCTTATTAATTACCTTATTTCGTAATTAGAACATAAGAAAATTTAAATATTAGTTTTATTTTAAAAGCACTTGAAAATTTTCAAAAAAGTCCGACGATAATTAGCCGTTACGCAGCGCTGTCTCTAATCTCGATTGTCGCTCTCTATTTGATGAACGCCATGCTCTTTCTCTCTCTACTCTGACGTCATAATGCTAGATACTTATTTCGAACAGCGTTTAACCGATCGTCGCGTGATTTTCCCAAAAAAACGCGTCAACTGCCCTTTTTTCTAAAATTGTTCGCGGAACAATTAGAACAAATAGACAACGGAATTTGCATTCGAGTATATCTTATAAGATTGTTATAATAACTCGTGATAACTCTATTATAAGATTGTATAAATAACTCGTGAATGTATCACCGTCGGCAAGGTGACATAAAAGTTACGAATATCAACAAACGAAGGAAATTGAATGGTAAGAACAACCGTTTAAGTTTCAAACGACAAACCGTGTTGATTTCCACCCACCCCTTGTCCCTAGTGCGAAAACAAAGAGTGGGGAACACCTGTGCTAAAATCTCGTTCGCACTGAGGGAACAATGCTCAGTTAGTTGCTAATACTCAACATGAGAATAAGTGCCCCGAGTGAGACGAGTTCCATCGACGCTCTAATCGATGCGGAGATCGACGACAAAGGGCTCGGTCTCCAATTGGAGGAGAGCGGCCGAAGTACAGCGGAAGAGGTGAAGTGCACGCCCCCATCGCCCGCGGTTCAAACAACCGAACCGACGGAGTTGATATTCGACCTGGGAGGTCACAACATCAATCCGGATACCGGCCCATATTCCTACAACTACCAGGAGGTACAGTTGTCGGGTACCCGGAGGAAAATATGTCTTCCGATGGATAGACCACGGACAGTTGTCCTCCATTCTGAGATTGGACCGAAAAGGTACACAGAGAAAGTCAAAGCGGTCACGAGAAGCAGCACCGTCACAGGTGACCGCAAGAGGGCAACCACGGCGGAGTCGCAGAGGTCCTGCGCAGCGCCACGAGGACTTGGCAAGGATAGTTATAGAACAGCTGGTCCAAACGACGCTGCGGATACTGCGAAATGCCGGGTCGCCACCCACAACGTAAGTTATCTACATAACTCCTTAAAACCAGTACACATCTCTCTCGACTCATGTATGGGAACATTCCTAGCAAACGGCCCGTTCAATGATCGGGGTGAGTTATACGTCATTCGATTCGTCTAATTCAATACATTATTGATATGCATTTCATTATCTGCGGAAATTCGTTATTTTTTTACAAACTTGTCGTAAAGTTACAGTAAAAAAGTAAGGTTAGGTACATTTTTTGACAGGTTCACAGATAGAAACAAGTGACTATCGTTGCTATGTTCATATTACAAATTATAAATGATTGATCTAATTTGATAATGCTACATTGTCAAATGGGGATTTGTAGAATGCGTATGCATAAAAATCATTTTGTTACGGATAGACTTTGCATGAGTCGGTCAGGTAGACAGTATGTGCCGCAACAATTCCCCTCCCCAACAGTGTTTACGGGTAGAGAATATAATAAATTACTATTGTATGCAGTGCGTTGGATTAACTTTTTTTTATTATTAAATTTCATTATCATCTAGGTCTGGTATATTTTGGTTTTCCGTAGAATCAAATGAAATTTCTGCAATTTCTTTTAATAGCTGGTTAAATAAATCATCCTTTCCTTGCTTGGAAAATTTGTAAAATTGTAGTGGCTTAACCCTTTGCGGTCGGTTTAAATTTGGAGATTGTTATCGTACTGGTCGGAATTAATTTCCATCGATAAAGCAAGGATACATAACACGCAAGTTTACGATGTATAAACGAGTTTTAGTAATTCTTTTGTGAACTTTAGATATATCTTTATTCAATACACTCATCTTGTGATATGTTTTCGTATAAAAATTATGTTTTATAATTCTCCTTCGTGTGATATTTTTCAAAACACTCTCCAACATGCAGGCCAGGTTTTCGAGTGCATGTATCGCATTTTGGGGAATTATTTTGGAATATTTAAAAAAGAGAGAATGTCTAATTACTGTTAAATACAATTTATAAAATATTCTTTGGAATTCTACAAGGTATCGTCGAACGTTGTTGATTTCACTACGTTCAAAAGACGACTGACTCGCCACTGCGTCTTGCATGACGAGTTACAACTTTTGTGTACATTAGATTACGTTATCTCCAATTGATGGAGCATCGTATTGGTTCGTGAATAGGTTCTTTAGGCATTGAGGTTCGTATAGGAAGAGTGTAAACTGATACATGAATGCATACAGTATACGATTCGTATAGTTCCTTGCTGTGGTGGCTGAGAGCAGACATACGACCGGAACGGTAAAAAGACTTTGGTGGCTGAGAGTAGACATACGACCGCAAAGGGTTAAATACCCAATGAAATTATCTTTTTTGCTAAAAATAGAAAATTTTATGGTATTATATGTTACAGAAAATATTAAAAAACGTGCAAAATTACAAATACTAACCGACAATATTCAGGCAAAAAGTGTTTACTATGCCTCCGCGTAGTTTCTATCGTATTTATATGAGCGCCTGTTTCTGAGTCTTTGAAATGTAAGCTGTGATTTACGGTAAGATGTTTGTACCCCTCTTTCTCTAAGATGTTAAAGGCTTTCCAACAATCTGAAATAATTGTTGTGCCAGGCAACACCCATTGTTTAATTATTGAAAGCAGGGACTCTGTGCCCCTACTTTCAACAGGCACCAGGAATATTTTTCTACTTCCTCTTTCTATGCCTCCAAAAACCCATTGTCTCTCTACACGATGACCTCTGTGATATTTTCTTTGTCCGAACTTAGATTCGTCTATTTCTACTATTTTGCCTGGTCCGCCAACTACTTCGCATGAATGTTGTAGCCAATCAGTCATAACTTGTTTTACAAAATAATTCCATTGAGAAACAGTATTTTTATTCAATTGTAATTCTCGTACAATCTGATATTGATCAAAATTATGGACTAACATGTAAGTTAATTTTAATACCATTTCATAAGAAAGCTTTGTTTTTGAAAACCATGATCTACGATTTACACATATTTTTACATCACAAGTTCGCTTTCGTTTGCAAGCACTAAGAGATGCTGCAATTGTTTTTCTACAACGTCAATTTTCATTGTCTAATTTCATTACGTTTCCACACTGTGGACAATTAAGATTTTTGGCAGTCAACTTTTATCTTGCAAAAATTTTAATAAAGCTTCTTTATTTTTACAAAATTCGTGCAAATTAAATAAGGTCCACACTTCTGGAACTACTAATTCTGTCATTTTTATAGCACGGTTGAACAAAATTCACAAAGTACAAGAAACAGAAGAAAATCCGAAATGACAGTTGAAACAAATGATTACTGAAACAATTTCTGCTTTTCTTCTGTTTCTTGTACTATCCGCAATGTGAAAATGTTATGAAAATTGGCAATGCAGGATAACTATTCCAGGATCTGTCGATCAAACTAAACGTAAAAGACATTGTAATATAAAGATATAACTTGTTTTACAAAATAATTCCATTGAGAAACAGTATTTTTATTCAATTGTAATTCTCGTACAATCTGATATTGATCAAAATTATGGACTAACATGTAAGTTAATTTTAATATCATTTCATAAGAAAGCTTTGTTTTTGAAAACCACGTTCCACGTTTTACACATATTTTTACATCACAAGTTCACTGTCGTTTGCAAGCACTAAGAGATGCTGCAATTGTTTTTCTACAGCGCCAATTTTCATTGTCTAATTTCATTACGTTTCCACACTGTGGACAATTAAGATTTTTGGCAATCAACTTTATATCTTGCAAAAATTTTAATAAAGCTTCTTTATTTTTACAGAATTCGTGCAATTTAAATAAGGTCCACACTTCTGGAACTACTAATTCGGTCATTTTTATAGCACGGTTGAACAAAGTTCACAAAGTACAAGAAACAGAAGAAAATCAGAAATGACAGTTGAAACAAATGATTACTGAAACAATTTCTGCTTTTCTTCTGTTTCTTGTACTATCCACAATGTGGAAATGTTATGAAAATTGGCAATGCAGGATAACTATTCCAGGATCTGTCGATCAAACTAAACGTAAAAGACATTGTAATATAAAGATATTTGCAGAGCAAAGAACGTGGTTTTCTAAAGACAAACTCAGCTATAGATGTTTTAAAATTAACATATATACTAACATATAATTATGAGCAATGTCATATTATTATGTAACTAAAATTAAATAAAAATACTTCACAGCAATTGGAAGGGTAGAGTAGATTGTCGAGATTGATGAATCAACATTTTGTCATAGAAAATATCACAGAGGTCGCTTGAAAATTAATCACAGCGTCAGTTTTGAAGATCCCATTACCGATGCTTACACGAATTAAATTGAAACCACTTGGAGGCATGCTACACATTTTTTAATCTTTTTTATAACATATAATACTATCGATATTTTATATTTTTAAGAAGAGTAACTTCATCGAATGCCTGAGCCATTATGTATTTAGTAAATATACCTAATATAAAAATGGTGATTTATTCAATGAAATATTAGCAGAAATAGTAGAAATTTCATTCAATAAATGTTTAACAAATTAGCATTTGACTACCTAGCATTTTGAACAGAGTAACGACAGTCACTTGTTTCCACCTGTGGACTTATCAAAATATACTTAACCTTACTTTTTTACTGTAACTTTACGACAAGTTTATAAAAAAATAACGAATTTCCGCAGATAATGAAATGCATATCAATAATGTATTGAATTAGACGAATCGAATGACGTATGACTCACTCCGATCATTGAACGGGCCGTTTGCTAGGAATATACAATATACCCATATCTGTGCTGAAGTACCACATCTCTTAGTTCGAGAACGTTTTCTCGGTCACGAATTTTGTTATTTATTTGCGTACGTGACCCCCAAGAGACAATTCTGTTACGCGAAGAATAGAATTAGCAAAACGGCAGCTGACGTGTTGTTTTCGATGAAAGTTATTGAATAAACACAACCATCGGTTGAACGCCGTCGAAAAGAACATTCAAACTTGCGTAAAATGCGCGGGTAAGAGGCACCACCTTGGCCCTTTTCACGATAGGCTAACCGTTGTTCTATCGGCGTTTGAAAGTTCCAAGGAAATTTTGCGTTTGATTCTTCTCTGTTACAATCGTCAGTGTAACGAATAGAAATGCTTACTTTCAAATCTACGCGCTTGTCACCGAACGTTTCCTCGATTATCATAAACCATAGCACAAGAACGGATACGGATAACATATTATACCGGTGTTGACACATCGTCGTTTTGTTTGTTTCAGAAGATAGAATGGTGCGTTGAACTGAAACCAAAATAAACGTCTGTTCTTTTAGAACGGAATAAAATAAAAATAAAACGTGTTAAAATTTACTTCCCTTCACTTCCGATTCCCTCATATTCGAGCCACTGTTCAGAGGCGCAAGTCCGTCTTTTAAATGATATCAATTTATTACACAGAATCAAATGTATTTGGCCAATATTTTAAGTTCACTTTATTTTTGGCTCGTTTATTGTTATGGTTAGAGCTGTTGCTTTTTTCTTTTGCAGAATTGCGTAAAAATACGCGAAAGATAAAGGAATAAGACTGTTTAATTATATTTAATATTTATTTATACAAAACACGTGTGTCTTTAACTAGTAACGCTTGCGGAACTGATCTAGTCTTGATCGAATGTCTTAAAAATCTGATCGACATTCCTGCTCTTTTATAGATCACATAATTAATTAAAATGTATATAAAATTTATATATTTATAATCATTTTATAATACAATTATTTTGAAGACATTACGAGACATCTTACTCGATATGGCGAACATAAACGTATAAATTAACAAATCCCAATGATGTATATTTTATAAATGTTTCGATGGAAGATAATTAAAAAAATAATTATATCTCTTAGAGATTTAAGTGTATTTCGATAATTACTTCAAATTACTTAACTAAGATTTATTTCAAATTACTGAAATTAACTTTTGATGTATCTCTTATATTCCGAAACTTTTATTTACAATTTACTAAAAATAACACACGTTGTTGTAAACTTATATGAATAAATACATAGATTACATACATATTTACATATGTATTACAGCAAACTCTAGAAATAGAGTACAAGTTCCAACAATCCTGATGATTTGACTCCAGCGTTTGAGCATTCGAATAAAACAACATAATTATTATTCTAAACATAATTTAATGCTGAGACACGTGCACCGGAAATGTGTTTACATACCATATTTAAAAAAAAAAATTTTAAAACCTAACAGACATTATTCGAGCAATATAACCTACAAAAATGGAATATTTACGCTTGGACAAGTCAACAGAAACGAAGACTATAAGAAATTCAGCAATGATTATCATTTTTCATCCGAAGCGACAGTATTACCTTCGCAATCGCAAATTGTTATTGCTGGCGCGGGAACGGTTGCCAATTCAGTTGCTTATCATCTTGTTATTAATGGCTGGAATGACATACTCGTTCTGGAACAAGATAGGTATATGTTAATTTCTCAAATAAGATAAATTATAAACGATAAGTCATCATTTTTTATTAAGAAAGCTTACAAAGATTGTTGTTACAGAATTGGAAGCGGAACGTCTCATTTTGGTTCCGGTACGCTTAGTCTTTTTAAACCGATATCGCATAGAAACTTGATTTCTTACAGCATTAAGCTGTATCGACAACTACAAGGAATGGGATACGATATTGGACTAAAACAGTGCGGTAGCATAAACTTAGCTCAAACTAAAGACAGAATGATAGCTTTAAGAAGAAGAATGGCTTATAACGTACCTACGGGTTTACATTGCGAAGTAAGGTTTAATCGTACGTTACTGTCGAACGAGAAATACAACATGTATTTTTAACGAGTAATAAATTAACTAGATTCTGGGCAGAGAAGAACTGAAACGATTACATCCATATTTGAACATCGATGACATCGAAGGTGCAGTCTGGGTACCCGAAGATGCAATAGCCGATTCTAGTGCGATTTGTAAAGTCTTGGCTGAATTAGCGAAACTGGGTGGTGCAACGTACGTTGAAAATTGTAGAATCGAAGAAGTACGGACTGAAAACGGAGCTGTGAAAAGTATAAGAACTAAACACGGTGTAATTCAATGCGAATATTTTGTAAACTGTGCTGGAATGGTAAAGTCAATTTTTTATATATTATAATCTTCTCAATTTATTGTTCATACTTTTATTAATCGCTATATAAATACTCCTTTGAACTTTACTAAATAGTGGGCACGTGAATTAGGATTACGATGCAGTCCACCAGTCAGAATTCCAGCGTATCCTGCAGAACATTTTTATGCGATCGCTTATCCTTTCCCACCTACTTCGGATGTAACTTTACCATGTATACGAGATTTTGATTCACACTCGTACATGAGAGAATGGCAAGGTATTCAGTAAATTGTTTATTACTTAATTCTCATAAAATTAATAATTTAGAACTTTGTATGTATTTAATATTATAGAAAGTTTATTAGTCGGCTGGTTTGAACCGGAATCAAAACCTGCGTTTGAAAATGGTATCGTTCCTACAAAAAACTGGAAGAACTATCTTAAAAATAATCCGTCTCACTGGAAACCTCTATGGAACAAAGCGGTGCATAGATTACCAATTTTGAAGGACGTAAATCCAGATGTATATAACTGTCCTGATAATTTTACACCGGATGGTAGATGGATATTGGGAGAAAGTCCAGAAGTAAAGAATTACTTTGTCGCTGTTGGTATGAATGGGAATTCATTGCAAGGTAAAAAGTTACAAAGGGTATAGCCGAATAAGGGGGTCAAATGTGCCCTTGAACGAAATGTGACATACGATGGATCCATCGATAGAGCATCAAGAAAAAACGTTCTGTGCCAAATTTTAACCCTCTATCTTGTTTGGAAGGGTAGCTATTGAGAAAATTCGGATTAACGAATTTCTGCCTATTTCCCCTATTTAATCGAGTAGAAAAATTATGAAAAAAATCTGGTGCATCGTGGTTATCGAGATACGTGTTTGAGAATTTTTTCCAATTTTTCGATTCCAAATTCCAGGTGTGAAAAATTGAAAACGCAAAAAAACACAGAAAAATACGGATTTCGTATCGAAGCTTTCGAGACACTAGATTTCTATAATTACTGTAAATGCGTATTGTCATTGGTTATCTCCCTGAATTTTTTCAGATTTTTTGCTAGGGTGCGCCGTAGTAGGAAAAATCAAAAACCGATTTTTTCGACGTTTTTCGCGTGAAAAAGCATCTTATACTTTGAATTTTTGTATTCTCTTTAATAGATAACTATATTGTATTGTTTTAAACATTTCTATGTTGAGCAGAACAGTATATACAAGAAGAAAAGCAAAAATAAGTCCCGAAATAGAAATTACTATGCGCGATATATTGAGAAGTATCAACAGTATTTTCAAGAGTTGCGATGGTGCAGTAAGTAAGATGCTTGACTGCGAGACTGCTGCAAACTTTTTGACGCGCGTTCGCGCCCTACTAAAATACATTTTTTTTATTATATTAATTTTGTTTTTTTTCAATTTCTAACTAAACGACAGTGAAAAACTATTTGTTTATTAATATTTAAAAAATATTTTCACCTAAAATATACGCTCATATTCTTTTTATTGAAAAATCTTGCAGTAAGTACTGAAATTTTTGGACGAAATTAAACAATTTCCAATCATACTAAAAAAATTATATTTAGTTACAAGGATCGATTACAAGCATTTTAAGTGAATAGACATACACCCGAAATCCTACGCGCTTTCGAGAAAATAATTCTTTACCGAAAATCTAATGTGAGCATTCCTTGAAAATTTCATGCGAATCTTTAAAATGTCATAACTTCTGAACGTATTGAAGGATTTTAATGTTTGAAGCGGCAAGTAACGCGTATTTTGGTGAAGAATATGTAGGCATTATAACAATAGTGAAAAAGTTGTTCCTTAATCCCGTAAAGTTAGAAAAACCCCATAAAAATGGTCCAATTTTCAAACGGCCATAACTCCTACAATAGTGAACATATCTCAATGAAAATTTTTTCTAAAGTAGAGCTCATCGGTGCATATAAAAAAGTATTAGACATTTTTTCTGTAGAGCGTGAAACAAATTTATTAAAAATGAAAAACAATTTTGTAAGAAAAATCAACCAGGGGGTAGGTGTCTAAATTTTTCGACGAAAGAAAAATTTCAAATCGTTCTGAAAAAATTATTTCTAGCTAAGGGGGTCAATTACAATTATTTTTGGTGAATAGACATACCCCCGAAATCCTACACAGTTTCGAAAAAAAATTCAAATGAATATATCGCGCATAGCACTTCTTTTCGTGACTTATTTTTGCTTTTCTTCTTGTATACAATGTTCTGCTCAACATAGAAATGTTTAAAACCATACAATATAGTTATCTATTAAAGAGAATACAAAAATTTAAAGTATAAGATGCTTTTTCACGCGAAAAACGTCGAAAAAATCGGTTTTTGATTTTTCCTACTACGGCGCACCCTAGCAAAAAATCTGAAAAAATTCAGGGAGATAGCCAATGACAATACGCATGTACAGTAATTATATAAATCTAGTGTCTCGAAAGCTTCGATACGAAATCCGTATTTTTCTGTGTTTTTTTGCGTTTTCAATTTTTCACACCTGGGATTTGGAATCGAAAAATTGGAAAAAATTCTCAAACACGTATCTCAATAACCACGATGCACCAGATTTTTTTCAGAATTTTTCTACTCGATTAAATAGGGGAAATAGGCAGAAATTCATTAATCCGAATTTTCTCAATAACTACCCTTCCAAACAAGATAGAGGGTTAAAATTTGGCACAGAACGTTTTTTCTTGATGCTCTATCGATGGATCCATCCTATGTCACATTTGGCCCCCTTATTCGGCTATACCCTTTTTTAATCGTACTTGCATATTAACATTATCAGATATTTTTATTAGGAGCGGGAGGAATAGGTAAAGAAGTTGCAGAGTGTTTAATAAACGGTGAATCCACGCAAGAATTACTTCCCTTTAGTGTGCAAAGGTTTCTAGATTTACATAGCAGTAAACGGTATTTGCAACAAAGAACGAAAGAAATAGTTGGTCGAAATTATGCAATCTTGTATCCCCATCAATGCGAGTATAAATATGCTCGAAAATTACGTTGCTCGCCTTTGTATTCTGTTCTTGAAGAGAGGGGTGCAATTTTTGGCGTGAAGATGGCTTACGAGCGACCACTTTACTTTGATTCAACTTACAGAAGTAAGGGAATGACTACTAGGTCTTTCTTTGCCTTTCGTGTTATATTCGAGTAAATAAACCGTAATTAATATAATTACAAGGAGGACAAAAGAAGCCGGTCATGCCACCGGGCAGTTTTTACAAACCACAGTTTTTTGATTTCATGGAAGAAGAATTTTTAGCGTGTAAAGAAGGAGTAGGGATAATAGATATGAGTTCATTTTCAAAAATCAAAATTAAAGTGAGTGTGCAAAAAATATGACTGTTTAAATGTTTATATAATCGCTGATAGATATATTTATAGTCTAGTCGTTGGGAAGTGGTAGAATACCTTCAACAATTGTGTTCTAATGACGCAAATATACCTGTTGGCGGTATAGTGCATACAGGAATGCAAAATGAAAGAGGTGGATATGAAAATGACTGTCTCCTAGTAAGACAGTCGGAAAACAGTTATTTTATGGTATCACCTACAGCACAACAAACACGCATTTATCAATGGATGTCGAGGTAACGAACAATTCAAAATACAAATCATTCTTTTACAATTATACAATTATAAAACGATTAATATGTTACATAGACATTTACCAGCAGATCACTCGGTAGGCCTCAATGACGTGACTTCAAAATATACAGTCATTAACTTAGTAGGGCCTAAAGCGACAGGACTACTTTCAGAACTATCAAATTCTAACATTAATCTTTCTCCTTTCACGTACAAGGTACGTGCCAAATATATTACTATTAACAACCACTTTGGTAATAAATATAATATAAATATATAATTCGTGAACAATTTTAATGTTAACAGACTGCAAATGTAGCGTATGCCTCGGATGTAATGATAATGTCATTCACGAACACTGGTGAATCTGGTTATTGTTTGTATATACCTACTGAATATGCACTTCACGTATACTCCAGGTTAATGGAAGTGGGCAGAGATTACGGAGTACGAGACGTAGGTGTACTCACGCAACGTTTCATGCGAATAGAAAGGTTTATTCCTTTCTGGGCCGAAGAATTAACGCCATTTGTCACGCCATATGAAGCTGGATGTGGATACAGTGTGAAATTAGATGTAAGTAAAGGGTATAGCCGGATAAGATGGTCAAAAGTGCCCTTGAGCCAAACTGATCAGTTAATAGACCATTCAAAGAAAACCATTTGTGTCAAATATCAACCCCGTGCCCTTACTGAGAGGGTAGTTACAGGGCGTAACGCAATTTTCAAGTTTAAGCTGTATATCTTTTGTTGTATCGTATCAAAGATTTTGAACAAAATTGGGGGTATTTTGCTCTACGGTGTACGTGTTTGTGAATTTTTTCAGAATTTTTCACCGCGAAATGGATTTTTAAAAAATTCGAAAAGTATAAAAATATTTTGTTTTAATAGAAATTATTACATGACCACGTTTATATTTTGACAGTGTTAGTGTCTTGTTATGATTATTAATCTATAATTTTTTCAGATTTTTAGAAACGGGGGAGCGATGTTGGAAAAATCAAAAACCGACGTTTGCTTGTATTTTTACCTTAATTTTTGTTGCGACCATGTTCGTATTGTTACAATTTTAATAGCTTGTTAATGTTATAAATATATAATATTTTGAGATTTTTTGTGGAGGTGTATCGCATACAAAATAATTATAAATCGATATTTCCTAAATTTTCTTTCGCAGAGTAGTAATATATTCGGGTAATTAATATTTTTACTTCATCGAATGATCATTATATGCATGCTCAAAATAGTTTTACATGTATCAAATAATATAAAACTTAAAACCTTAGGAATGTCGAAAAAGACATCAATGAATGACATTAATGAATACTTAATCTTTTATTAGTCATATTCTGAGAAATTCTAATGAGAAATTCTAATAAAAGAATAGCTGCAATTCTCTTAATTCATACATGTAAAACTATTTTGAGCATGTATATAATGATCATTCGATGAAGTAAAAATATCAATTACCCGAATATATTACAAATGTCGGTTTTTGATTTTTCCAACATCGCTCCCCCATTTCTAAAAATCTGAAAAAATTTTAGAGTAATAATCATAACAAGACACTAACACTGTAAAAATATAAACGTGGTCATTTAATAATTTCTATTAAAAAAAAATATTTCTATAATTTTCGAATTTTTTAAAGATCCATTTCGCGGTGAAAAATTCTGAAAAAATTCACAAACACGTACGCCGTGGAGCAAAATGCCCCCAATTTTTTTCAAAATCTTTGATACGATACAACAAAAGATATACAGCTTAAACTGAAAATTGCGTTACGCCCTGTAACTACCCTCTCGGTAAGGGTACCGGGGTTGATATTTGACACACATGGTTTTCTTTGAATGGTCTATTAACTGATATGTTCACTGATCAGTTTGGCTGAAGGGCACTTTTGACCATCTTATCCGACTATACCATTTCATGCGAATCTTTAAAATGTCATAACTTCTGAACGGATTGAAGGATTTTAATGTTTCAAACGGCAAACAACGCGTATTTTGGCGAAGAATATATAGAAATTCTAAAAATATTCGAAAAGTTGTTCCTTAACCCCGTGAAATGACAAAAACCCCCTAAAAATGGTCCAATTTTCAAACAGTCATAACTTCTACAATTGTGCATATATTTCAATGAAACTTTTTTCTAAAGTAGAGATCATGGGTACCTATGAAAAAGTATTAGACAACTTTTCCGTAGAGCGACAAACAAAATTACTAAAAATCAAAAACGAATTTCTAAGAAAAATCGACAGGGGTAGGTGCCTAAACGAAAAAAAATATTTCAAATCGTTTTGGAAAAATTATTTTCGATTGCGGGAGTCAATTACAATCATTTTTGGTGAATAGACATACCCCCGAAATCCTATCCACTTTCTAGAAAAAAATTCAAGAATGTGTGAAATTTTTAGTCGGAAAAAAAGAATTTCAAATCGTTCTGGAAAAATTATTTTCGATTGCGGGAGTCAATTACAATCATTTTTGGTCATTACACGTACCCCCGAAATCCTACGCATTTTCAAGAAAAAAATTCCTAATCGAAAATGTAATTTATGTTGCCCGGGATAGAATTTACCATTAGGATACTAAAAAAATTAATTCTCAAGTTAAGACGTTGAGAAAAATAAATTTTTGATAGAATTTACCATTAGGATACTAGAAAAATTCATTCTCAAGTTAAGACGCTGAGAAAAATAAATTTTGGATAGAATTTACCACAACAAAAATTAAAAAATACAAGCAAATGTCGGTTTTTGATTTTTCCAACATCGTTCCCCCGTTTCTAAAAATCTGAAAAAATTATAGATTAATAATCATAACAAGACACCAACACTGTAAAAATATAAACGTGGTCATGTAATAATTTCTATAAAAAAAAATATTTCTATACTTTTCGAATTTTTTAAAAATCCATTTCGCGGTGAAAAATTCTGAAAAAATTCACAAACACGTACGCCGTGGAGCAAAATGCCCCCAATTTTTTTCAAAATCTTTGATACGATACAACAAAAGATATACAGCTTAAACTGAAAATTGCGTTACGCCCTGTAACTACCCTCTCGGTAAGGGTACCGGGGTTGATATTTGACACACATGGTTTCCTTTGAATGGTCTATTAACTGATATATTCACTGATCAGTTTGGCTCAAGGGCACTTTTGACCATCTTATCCGACTATACCATTTCATGCGAATCTTTAAAATGTCATAACTTCTGAACGGATTGAAGGATTTTAATGTTTCAAACGGCAAACAACGCGTATTTTGGCGAAGAATATATAGAAATTCTAAAAATATTCGAAAAGTTGTTCCTTAACCCCGTGAAATGACCAAAACCCCCCTAAAAATGGTCCAATTTTCAAACAGTCATAACTTCTACAATTGTGCATATATTTCAATGAAACTTTTTTCTAAAGTAGAGATCATGGGTACCTATGAAATAGTATTAGACAACTTTTCCGTAGAGCGACAAACAAAATTACTAAAAATCAAAAACGAATTTCTAAGAAAAATCGACAGGGGTAGGTGCCTAAACGAAAAAAAATATTTCAAATCGTTCTGGAAAAATTATTTTCGATTGCGGGAGTCAATTACAATCATTTTTGGTGAATAGACATACCCCCGAAATCCTATCCACTTTCTAGAAAAAAATTCAAGAATGTGTGAAATTTTTCGTCGGAAAAAAAGAATTTCAAATCGTTCTGGAAAAATTATTTTCGATTGCGGGAGTCAATTACAATCATTTTTGGTCATTACACGTACCCCCGAAATCCTACGCATTTTCAAGAAAAAAATTCCTAATCGAAAATGTAATTTATGTTGCCCGGGATAGAATTTACCATTAGGATACTAAAAAAATTAATTCTCAAGTTAAGACGTTGGGAAAAATAAATTTTTGATAGAATTTACCATTAGGATACTAGAAAAATTCATTCTCAAGTTAAGACGCTGAGAAAAATAAATTTTGGATAGAATTTACCACAACAAAAATTAAAAAATACAAGCAAATGTCGGTTTTTGATTTTTCCAACATCGTTCCCCCGTTTCTAAAAATCTGAAAAAATTATAGATTAATAATCATAACAAGACACCAACACTGTAAAAATATAAACGTGGTCATTTAATAATTTCTATTAAAAAAAAATATTTCTATACTTTTCGAATTTTTTAAAAATCCATTTCGCGGTGAAAAATTCTGAAAAAATTCACAAACACGTACGCCGTGGAGCAAAATACCCCCAATTTTTTTCAAAATCTTTTATACGATACAATAAAAGATATACAGCTTAAACTGAAAATTGCGTTACGCCCTGTAACTACCCTCTCGGTAAGGGTACCGGGGTTGATATTTGACAAAAATGGTTTTCTTTGAATGGTCTATTAACTGATATGTTCACTGATCAGTTTGGCTGAAGGACACTTTTGACCATCTTATCCGGCTATACCCTCTGTATCGGTATGAATATTTATCCCGATAGAATTAATATCTACTATAGATAAATTTTAAAACACTTGATTAATATGATTATTTTTATTACAGAAAGGCTACTTCATTGGGAAATTTGCTTTAAAACAACAGAAAGAACAAGGCGTAACAAAGCGATTAGTATTATTTGTTGTTAACGAACTAGATATAAATAAAAATGTATGGCCATGGGGTGGCGAACCCGTTTATCGAAATAATGAATTCGTGGGAACTGTTACATCAGCAGGGTAGATACTCACGATGATTACTAATAAAACATTACTTTTTTTTTCTGACAAGTCATTAATGAACTGAATTTACAGGTATGGATTTGCAACCGAAAAACATATTTGTCTTGGATTTATCAGTTCTCCTAGATCAAATCACACGCAACCTGATAGAAATATTGTTACAACAGATTTTATAATGGATACTACAGCCTGCTATGAAATCGATATCGCCGGTACCAGATTTCCAGCTAAACCTCACATTCATCCTTTACCTATACCAGCATCGAGTATTAAATTAAACAAAAAATATATTCCCACTCCTGTTATTGCATACGAGAGCGATGTGACTCGTTAATAACATTTTCATTTACTTTTTGTGATTGTCCTTTACCCGAATTATTTAAAAGTATAATTATATTATTAATAATTTAGTCATTAATTTTACAAGTCTGATATATTTTTCTTACACATTGTTACGTATTACGTTACGTATTATTACGTATTGCGAATATTTCAAAACTTATACATAAATGTTTTGTAAGAATTATAAATGCATTAAAATAAATACACGTGTGAACAAACCTATGCCCGATAGAAATTGAAATTTAAAATTTCAAGTATAATTTTGATTATTCTTTTTTTATATACAATATTTTATATGATATTTACAAAAAGACTGTTACATTGATATTTATACAGCAAAAACGTATGGATTCATAATGTTTTAATTGTTAACGAACGAATTGCTTGTAACGTTAAGAATTTTTAGTGAAAAATATAGCAGCTTTTACTTGCAGTTATACTAGATTACTACACAATACGCTCGAATGGATTTATTTATAGCAGGTACATTTATACAAAATATTGTTATGCGTATATACATTAAAATGACATTCAAGTTCAAAAAGCAACAATATAGTTTACGATTATCACTTTTTACATTGCAAATATAAATTATATACCTGTCTGTTGTAATTTGTATTTTTATTGTAATTACAAAGTATATAGGCTAGCATATATACAAGTAAAATACTTGCTTACTGTTATTTATAAAGTTTTCTCATCTGTCAATGATTCACTATATGCACAAAAAGCAAAATTATCTTTATATAAGCTTCATTATTATTTTGATCAATGTTTTTAATCTGTGCATGAAAAAATACTGCTATATTGACTTTGAAACAATTGCATAATATAAAATCTAGAAAATAAAGATTCATGTAACTTTATCAATTTCTTGCAGAATGCATACTTAATTTTAGCTATTAATTTCTTACAATCATTTTGATACCACTTTACGATGCCCATGCTTCTAATTCTTTTAAATCATCATCCTCTTCTGGTTTGGCTTCTAAAATGTAAGAAAACAAATTTAAAAACAAACTATTATACAATAATAGATTTTACATTAAATCAGGGATATTACTTGTGCGAGTCCTGGCTGGTGCAGCTGGAATTGCAGTAGCTGGTACATTTGGAAGTTCATCCGTAGATTCAATACCAAGCAATTCTTTGTCAAGTTGTTCTTGTTCAAGTTCCTCTAATTCTTTTTCTAGTTCTTCTTCGTCTATATCTTGACCAAATGCGACAGGGTTAGATATTGCATCTGAAATTTCTCTTGCTACGTCCTGTTGTTCGGCTATATCGTCCATCATATCATGCACTTGATCGACGTCCCTGAAAAAATTTAACATCTCGTTAATGGTGGCTATTAGAGTTAAACGACAACAATGTTATAGAATTGGATTTCTTACATATCTTGATGAACAGATTTTAATGCATCTGCTGCGCTCTTCATCGTTGTAAGCACAGCAGTATTTGTATTAGCGCTTTCAAGCGCTTCTCTTTGCATTTCGATCGTAGATAACGTGCCATCGATTTGTTGTAATTGTTTTTCATATCGTTTCTTTCGTTTAAGAGCTTGAATCGCAGCTGTGAAACACAATCACATTTTTATCAACATCTTGTCTTAACGCGTTATTTAAATAATCAATAATTCAATGGAAATAATTTCAATGTACTTTTCTCTCAACTTAAAATCAAAAAGTGTGCTTAAATAAAGTCTCCACGAGATCCTGTGACTAAATTTTTTGGCGAATGCAATATTGCACGTACAAGAAAATTCTAGTCGCAGGAAAACAGTTTTCAATCGGAGGCAATATTTATCCACTCCAATGTTTTGTATTTTAACGTAGAAAGAAAATACACTACGCCTCGGTACCCAGAATCACACTGTATAATAAAAAAACGTCATAATGACAAGTGACCTTACTCGTGGAGAATTATCCGTAAACAACAATAAAAAATTTAAATAATTGGGAACATTCCTAGCAAACGGCCCGTTCACCGATCGGAGTGAATTATACGTCATTCGATTCGTCTAATTCAATACATTATTGATATGCATTTCATTATCTGCGGAAATTCGTTATTTTTTTATAAACTTGTCGTAAAGTTACAGTAAAAAAGTAAGGTTAAGTATATTTTGACAAGTCCACAGGTGGAAACAAGTGACTGTCGTTACTCTGTTCAAAATGCTAGGTAGTCAAATGCTAATTTGTTAAACATTTATTGAATGAAATTTCTACTATTTCTGCTAATATTTCATTGAATAAATCACCATTTTTCTATTAGGTACATTTACTAAATACATAATGGCTCAGGCATTCAATGAAGTTACTCTTTTTAAAAATATAAAATATCGATAGTATTATATGTTATAAAAAAGATTAAAAAATGTGTAGCATGCCTCCAAGTGGTTTCAATTTAATTCGTGTAAGCATCGGTAATGGGATCTTCAAAACTGACGCTGTGATTAATTTTCAAGCGACCTCTGTGATATTTTCTATGACAAAATGTTGATTCATCAATCTCGACAATCTACGCTACTCTTCCATTTGCTGAGCAGTATTTTTATTTAATTTTAGTTATATAATAATATGACATTGCTCATAATTATATGTTAGTATATATGTTAATTTTAAAACATCTATAGCTGAGTTTGTTTTTAGAAAACCATGTTCTTTGCTTTGCAAATATCTTTATATTACAATGTCTTTTACGTTTAGTTTGATCGACAGATCCTGGAATAGTTATCCTGCATTGCCAATTTTCATAACATTTCCACATTGCGGATAGTACAAGAAACAGAAGAAAAGCAGAAATTGTTTCAGTAATCATTTGTTTCAACTGTCATTTCTGATTTTCATCTGTTTCTTGTACTTTGTGAATTTTGTTCAACCGTGCTATAAAAATGACCGAATTAGTAGTTCCAGAAGTGTGGACCTTATTTAAATTGCACGAATTTTGTAAAAATAAAGAAGCTTTATTAAAATTTTTGCAAGATAAAAAGTTGATTGTCAAAAATCTTAATTGTCCATGATGTGGAAATGCAATGAAATTGATAAATGAAAATTGGCGTTGTAGAAAAACAATTGCAGCATCTCTTAGTGCTTGCAAACGAAAGCGAACTTGTGATGTAAAAATATGTGTAAAACGTGGAACGTGGTTTTCAAAAACAAAGCTTTCTTATGAAATGGTATTAAAATTAACTTACATGTTAGTCCATAATTTTGATCAATATCAGATTGTACGAGAATTACAATTGTATAAAAATACTGTTTCTCAATGGAATTATTTTGTAAAACAAGTTATATCTTTATATTACAATGTCTTTTACGTTTAGTTTGATCGACAGATCCTGGAATAGTTATCCTGCATTGCCAATTTTCATAACATTTCCACATTGCGGATAGTACAAGAAACAGTAGAAAAGCAGAAATTGTTTCAGTAATCATTTGTTTCAACTGTCATTTCTGATTTTCATCTGTTTCTTGTACTTTGTGAATTTTGTTCAACCGTGCTATAAAAATGACCGAATTAGTAGTTCCAGAAGTGTGGACCTTATTTAAATTGCACGAATTTTGTAAAAATAAAGAAGCTTTATTACAATTTTTGCAAGATAAAAAGTTGATTGACAAAAATCTTAATTGTCCACAGTGTGGAAACGTAATGAAATTAGACAATGAAAATTGGCGTTGTAGAAAAACAATTGCATCATCTCTTAGTGCTGGCAAATGACAGCGAACTTGTAATGTAAAAATATGTGTAAAACGTGGAACGTGGTTTTCAAAAACAAAGCTTTCTTATGAAATGGTATTAAAATTAACTTACATGTTAGTCCATAATTTTGATCTATATCAGATTGTACGAGAATTACAATTGAACATAAAAATACTGTTTCTCAATGGAATTATTTTGTAAAACAAGTTATGACTGATTGGCTACAACATTCATGCGAAGTACTTGGCGGACCAGGCAAAATAGTAGAAATAGACGAATCTAAGTTCGGACGAAGAAAATATCACAGAGGTCATTGTGTAGAGGAACAATGGGTTTTTGGAGGAATAGAAAGAGGAAGTGGAAAAATATTCCTGGTGCCTGTTGAAAGTAGGGACACAGAGTCCCTGCTTTCAATAATTAAACAATGGGTGTTGCCTGGCACAACAATTATTTCAGATTGTTGGAAAGCCTATAACATCTTAGAGAAAGAGGGGTACAAACATCTTACCGTAAATCACAGCTTACATTTCAAAGACCCAGAAACAGACGCTCATACAAATACGATAGAAACTACGCGGAGGCATAGTAAACACTTTTTTCCTGAATATTGTCGGTTAGTATTTGTAATTTTGCATGTTTTTTAATATTTTCTGTAACATATAATACCATAAAATTTTCTATTTTTAGCAAAAAAGATAATTTCATTGGGTATTTAAGCCACTATGTATTTTACAAATTTTCCAAGCAAGGAAATGATGATTTATTTAACCAGCTATTAAAAGAAATTGCAGAAATTTCATTTGATTCTACAGAAAACCAAAATATACCAGACCTAGATGATAATGACATTTAATAATTGTTTAGTCCGAAGTCGAAAGGATCGTTCCGGATTAGTAAGATTGCACGTGGTGTGCCGACTAAACTAAATTTCGAAGGACCACCCCTTATTCAGGGGACTAACTAGACGTTTTACTGTTGTATTGTATTTTAAAACTCAACAAAAATATACACTGATCAGATTAGGAACGGCTAGCGCACTATCTGTTTGTCAAATGGTAACTAAGTACGTAAGCAAGCAAGTAAGGAAGTAAGCGACTAAGCGAATAATAAGCAATAAGGGCGAAATCACGGCATGCCGCCGTTTTTATACTGCTGACTTTGGAGCAGGGGTGCGACGATGCCGACGTAGCTTGGCGTCCAAGGCAGAGGGTGCTACGTTCTGCAACTCCGGGTACTTTCCACCGCGTGCGTCAGCCCTTGGGCCCGCGTACGAACCATCGACGAAAACAAGGGAGGCCCAAGGCGCAGAGCCGCGCACGTATGGGCCATCTGACAGTCTCTTGGGGCTGCAACCACTCGAGACTGCCTTCGCCAACCAAGTTTATGACACTTTGTCCCTTTTGTTTAGCGAAACTCTAAGATATTTTTTGCCCATGCTGGCCTTGACGAAACTCTACAAACGCGGTTCTGTGTCATAAACCTGGTCGACTCACCGAAGCCCAAACAATAATAAAAAAAAGTTAATCCAACGCACTGCATACAATAGTAATTTATTATATTCTCCACCCGTAAACACTGTTGGGGAGGGGAATTGTTGCGGCACATACTGTCTACCTGACCGACTCATGCAAAGTCTATCCGTAACAAAATGATTTTTATGCATACGCATTCTACAAATTCCCGTTCGACAATGTAGCATTATCAAATTAGATCAATCATTTATATTTGTAACATGAACATAGCAACGATAGTCACTTGTTACTATCCGTGAACCTGTCAAAAAATGTACCTAACCTTACTTTTTTACTGTAACTTTACGACAAGTTTATAAAAAAATAACGAATTTCCGCAGATAATGAAATGCATATCAATAATGTACTGAATTAGACGTATCGAATGACGTATAACTCAACCCGATCGGTGATCGGGCCGTTTGCTAGGAATGTTCCAATAATTGTTCATAAATACCTCTCTTGTTTTTTGTTCCATTTTTCTTGGCAACTTGAATTTCAAGATCTATTTTAGTTTCGAGAAAATCTTGTTTTTTTATCAACATATCCTCTGTCTCGCGTAATTTTTGTATCGCTTCGGCCGTGGTCATAGGGACCAACTCCTTCTTCCCACCAAATATTTTGTAAAAGAAACTCATTGTGCTTTAAATTTATATTACAATCACACTCTCGAACACTTCAGACACTATCCACCTCCAACGTAGTCAACAAAAGATCACACACTGACCGTGCACCATCGCCATATTTCATTTGGTTCCCACAATCCACATACGTCATGACGTCATGACTCATCTAGTTGTTCCGAAATTGTTTGCTCCATCGAGCTATCGAGAACTAGAAATTTTTTTTATTTTTCTACTCGATATTTGAAACGATTTAAAGTCATTACACGAAATTAATTAAAACTATAAATCTAACGAAGATAGTCAAATTAATATTTACTCGGCGTTCCCTTCTTTAATATAAAAAAATGTTATCTCTTTAGAATCATTTTCGAATTACATAGATCTTTTTATCGTGAAATTTTATCGTCTATTTATCGAGTACAAATTTCACGACTTTTTATTTATCCGAATTTTTTAATACAACGATTGCAGAAACAATTTGTTGTGTACTAAAAAATGCAGATTCGAGGGGGCGAATAGAAATTCAAAAACCATTATTTGGAAAAAAAGCACATGGCTGTGTGGTTAGCATTTGCAAAATAATTGAAAAATTCTACCGAAAATGTAAATATATTAAAACTATTTGAACATGATCCAAAGGTACATTTGCACTTTGTTACTATAGTCACAAATATTGTACAGGCAATTTTTCAATTATACTGGCACAGACGTTACACAGTCATATCAAGGGAAAACAATATTCTAGAGAAATAATTGAAAGTGTAGACTTATTTGTAAAAGTAAGTACACTGAACAAAATCTTATAAATATAAATGTATTTGTAACACAAGAAAACATATGGGGTTCTACTAAATTTTCAAATTTGTTTTTCTTCCTTTTAATCACGATTAAGTACTTGTTTTGTTCACACAAATACATTACTGTATAGATACATCATGCAAATTGATATTTTGATGTTATACGCTATTTATAAAATTCGCCTTAAATTATTTAGAAACATAATTATTTACATTTCTACTAAAATGATGTAAAGTGTATAAAAAAATAGATGTAAAAACTGAAGTATTACGTAACTTCTTACATATTACCGTTCTCTTTGATAAAGTGTATTACTTAATAAATTATTAAATCAATATTTTAATATACAAAACTTGACATAATTTTATCACAAATTATTACTATGTTTTGTTCGTTAATTTACAACACGCGGCCTCTTGGAATGAGCCTCCACGAATGTAGATGAATGAGTCGGTGTACCAATTTCATTTATATTATTTACATCTAACGGGCCGCTGCGTTTTCTTGCCTTTGGGGATAATTGCTTTAAACACTCCATATCATTAAACACAACTTGTGCACCTCCTCCACTAGTTGGTAATATATCTCCCTAACACGATAATGATGTATTTTATAATATCATATTGTTACACAGATGCTTTAAATTTGTTCACAAACAAGTTACCTTGTATAGTTTTGTTTCAAGTTCGCCATCCGTATCGTGTTCTTGTGCGACAAGACAGTATCTAGATGCACCATCCGTGATCTCCTTCGGATCTGCAAGTCGCGTAATGCTACGTCTCCTACGCATTAATGGTTGAAGAACAGTTCCTAAAGGAACGAGTGCTCCTGGTCTGTGATCAATCCATCTGTCAGCACTTTGTGAACGTCTATGTCTTAGGTTCGAAACAGCCGTTTTATCCTGTAAACGAAATTTGACTTAAAACTGCATATCTTTAAATGAAACAAAATGCAAATAGCGAAAACTAACCCTCCGCGATCGAGCATCTGTTGTTTTCGTTACTTCTGAGTTAGGTGTAGCCACAACTCGATCTTTCGCAGAAACAGGCGTAAAGCTAATTATGTTATTGTCATCGACAAGAATTTGCTTCACTAGTCTCAATTTATCTTCTTTCTCCTTCATTTGATTCTAAGAAAATAGCAGAACTTAAATGTAAGAAACATATACTTCTAATATCATATAGATTTACGTAATTTTATTACATGTAACTGTTCACGTTGTTGGCGTAACTTTATCTCTAATTCCTTGTTCATTTTGTCGGTTTCCAGTTGCATTTTAGTATTATACTTTAGTTTCACTCTCTGTTTATCTATCAAGCGTTGATTCAAAGCCATGTCTCTATCTTTTAACTGTAAAACACCCGAGTTTAAATTTATCTAAACATTTAGATAACAACAAAAACATATATTTGTTATCTACCTCTTGCTGCAAGCTACGTATCGTATCGTTTGCATGATTCAGTTTGCGAAGCAAACTATTAATTTGTTCTTCAGTTTTACATAAATGTCCTTCCAATGCAGAAACCTAAAACAAACGTATATTATCTCGTCAATGTTTGTATACATTGTGTTAATAAGAAATTTATACCTTCTTTTTTTGTTGTACATTAGTTGCCCTTAGAGAAGCATTTTCAATTTTGTAATTCATATTTTCTTGTTCCACTGCCTTCAACATCTTTCTAAAATCGTTTTCTATAAATGCAGTAATTAATATTTTACATGTAATAATTGTTACATGATTTTTTAACCGTACAAAGTAAAGGGTATAGCCGAATAAGGGGGTGAAATGTGCCCTTGAACGAAATGTGATATACGATGGATCCATCGATAGAGCATCAAGAAAAAACGTTCTGTGCCAAATTTTAACCCTCTATCTTGTTTGGAAGGGTAGTTATTGAGAAAATTCGGATTAACGAATTTCTGCCTATTTCCCCTATTTAATCGAGTAGAAAAATTATGAAAAAAATCTGGTGCATCGTGGTTATCGAGATACGTGTTTGAGAATTTTTTCCAATTTATCGATTCCAAATCCCAGGTGTGAAAAATTGAAAACGCAAAAAAACACAGAAAAATACGGATTTCGTATTAAAGCTTTCGAGACACTAGATTTCTATAATTACTGTAAATATGCGTATTGTCATTGGTTATCTCCCTGAATTTTTTCAGATTTTTTGGTATGGTGCGCCGTAGTAGGAAAAATCAAAAACCGATTTTTTCGACGTTTTTCGCGTGAAAAGCATCTTATACTTTGAATTTTTGTATTCTCTTTAATAGATAACTATATTGTATGGTTTTAAACATTTCTATGTTGAGCAGAACATTGTATACAAGAAGAAAAGCAAAACTAAGTCACGAAAAGAAGTGCTATGCGCGATATATTCATTTGAATTTTTTCTCGAAACTGTGTAGGATTACGGGGGTATGTCTATTCACCAAAAATAATTGTAATTGACCCCCTTAGCTAGAAATAATTTTTTCAGAACGATTTGAAATTTTTCTTTCGTCGAAAAATTTAGACACCTACCCCCTGGTTGATTTTTCTTAAAAAATTGTTTTTCATTTTTAATAAATTTGTTTCACGCTCTACAGAAAAAATGTCTAATACTTTTTTATATGCACCGATGAGCTCTACTTTAGAAAAAATTTTCATTGAGATATGTTCACTATTGTGGGAGTTATGGCCGTTTTAAAATTGGACCATTTTTATGGGGTTTTTCTAACTTTACGGGATTAAGGAACAACTTTTTCACTATTGTTATAATGCCTACATATTCTTCACCAAAATACGCGTTACTTGGCGCTTCAAACATTAAAATCCTTCAATACGTTCAGAAGTTATGACATTTTAAAGATTCGCATGAAATTTTCAAGGAATGCTCACATTAGATTTTCGGTAATGAATTATTTTCTCGAAAGCGCGTAGGATTTCGGGGATATGTCTATTCACTTAAAATGCTTGTAATCGATCCTTGTAACTAAATATAATTTTTTTAGTATGATTGGAAATTGTTTAATTTCGTCCAAAAATTTCAGTACCTACTGCAAGATTTTTCAATAAAAAGAATATGAGCGTATATTTTAGGTGAAAATATTTTTTAAATATTAATAAACAAATAAGTTTTTCACTGTCGTTTAGTTAGAAATTGAAAAAAAAACACAAAATTAATATAATAAAAGAAATGTACTTTAGCAGGACGCGAACGCGCGTCAAAAAGTTTGCAGCAGTCTCACAGTCAAGCATCTTACTTACTGCACCATCGCAACTCTTGAAAATACTGTTGATACTTCTCAATATATCGCGCATAGCAATTTCTATTTCGTGACTTATTTTTGCTTTTCTTCTTGTATACACTGTTCTGCTCAACATAGAAATGTTTAGAACCATACAATATAGTTATCTATTAAAGAGAATACAAAAATTCAAAGTATAAGATGCTCTTTCACGCAAAAAGCGTCGAAAAAATCGGTTTTTGATTTTTCCTACTACGGCGCACCCTACCAAAAAATCTGAAAAAATTCAGGGAGATAACCAATGATAATACGCATTTACAGTAATTATAGAAATCTAGTGTCTCGAAAGCTTCGATACGAAATCCGTATTTTTCTGTGTTCTTTTGCGTTTTCAATTTTTCACACCTAGGATTTGGAATCGAAAAATCGGAAAAAATTCTCAAACACGTATCTCAATAACCACGATGCACCAGATTTTTTTCATAATTTTTGTACTCGATTAAATAGGGGAAATAGGCAGAAATTCGTTGATCCGAATTTTCTCAATAACTACCCTTCCAAACAAGATAGAGGGTTAAAATTTGGCACAGAACGTTTTTTCTTGATGCTCTATCGATGGATCCATCGTATGTCACATTTGGTTCAAGGGCACATTTCACCCCCTTATTCGGCTATACCCTTTCATTCTTACGTTTTTGTTGTACATCGACACGTAACATATTCCGTTTATTGATCCGCTGTTCCAAAAAATGCATCAAATTTGTAATTATTCGATCGTTGCACGGCGAATTAAGGTCCAATTCAGGAAATGGACCACCCAAACTAAAATAAATATAGTAATTAAGTAATACTTAATACATTAATTAATTGAGTACATAATACATTAAGTAATATTGAGAAAACACTTACCTATATACTAAGCCTATGTCAATCTTTAGATCGGCAGCTTCGGGACGACCTTCCTTTTCTAATTTACTGCGCGCCTCCTTAAACAGCTGTGAAAAATTGTTTTTTATAAATATATTTTCAAATTAGATTCGATCATATTTGCTCAATAATAATCTCACTTTATTTGCCTGCCTTCTACCAGGTGTAAAACCAAGATCTAATTTTGTAACTGCTGGTCGTGCTACTTGAACTTCCTGAGTCATTTCAGCGAATTTCATAACTTGCTGTAAATATATTATATTAAAAAGTGACCAATTTTTATATTTTTATGTAAGTTCTTACGTACAATTGTTTCATCAAAATCTTGCGTTCTTGGATTAACGCAGACGATCATCCTAACTTGTCCTTCTCCGTCAAAATAATTTTTAAACAAATGGGTAAGTTTTGAGTCCCTGTAAGGTACCATTTTATTTGTACCCTGCATTTGATTTTCTCTTAAAGTTTCCAAACACGATCGAAGTGTCATCAAAGAATTATTAATATTACCTAAACGAATAAAATAAATAAAATGAATAACAACATATATGATAAACTAATTATAACAGTTGCATCCAAAAGATTGTAACCTGCTTCTCTTAGTCGTTGACCTGTATTTTTGGTTCGATTGGTTCTTTCGCTACCAGCTAAATCTACCAAAGACAATTGAGTAATGCACACTACACGTTTATCTTGTATAATTTGTTCGCCTTCGCAATTTAAGGGAGCCTATAAAAAGATAGTATTAACTTGACTATAATTATGTATTAAATAAAGAAACAAAATTGAGGATCATGCCTGCACAAGACGAATGGTGAAAACGCTATGCGATCTGCTTGATTCTGCATTAAGAGCAGTGTGGGCAACTCTTCGTCTACGTTGACCATGTTGAAATACTTCAAACGCTTCCTCTGAACTTTTTACTTCGATTTCTGTCACGGCATGTACATACATATTTTTATTGCCATCTTCTCTTACTATTTTACTCTGTAACGTTCTGTAGATTGTCTCAAAATATTATCACGTTATTTGTAAACAAACATATTCATAAAATTAGAAGTAAATACGCAAACATACTTGGCTCTAATTTCATCATCTTCCAATAAATCATACACGCTGTTATTATATATTTCAACATAAGTAACAAATATTGCATAGGCACTGTCTTGATCTATTATCACTACTTTTGATTCATCAATCTCGCGAACCATCATCGGATTACTGTCGGTATCGCTGTCTGCTTTGTGTCTAAAAAAACATTTATAAATGAACGAAAATATTAATTATGTTTTCTATTTGATTATCTACAGAGTATAAGATTATCTTTATACTTACGTCCTGCCTGATTTTCCATTTCTTTGAGACATAAGTCCTGCGTGAAGCTCGTTTTGTCTATCGAGCATTGCATCGGCATCGCCTTGTACATCGAAACCATTTAATTTGTCTGGTTTAAAGACAAATTTTTTCGTTTGATAATTAACAATACTATTAAAAATAACGTCAAGACAACGAGGCATTATACCGACATCTTGAGGTTCGCCGGTCATCGTATATGTTTTACCACTTCCTGTTACACCATAGGTAAACAAAAGGCCATTTCTACCGCGAATTACATTTTCGACTAATGGATAGGCAACTACATTAAAAATGTCCTTTTGTGTTGCATCGGGAGTAAATACACGACTAAACGTTGTTTGAATTTCTTTGTTACTAGAAGTACGAAAATTCGTTGATGATTCCGGTGGTGTAATAATCAAAGATGTATCCGACGTAACTTTCATGCACGATACATCTGTAGGATGTTGCATTGGCCGTAAACGACAATAAACTTGAACTGGATCTTTAGATATCATATTGTTACCCTTTAGACGGCTTGTTAATTTGCGAGCAGAACCTGCTGGTTTTATACGCCTAAAATGTTGACATTAAATATAATATAAAACATTAATAACATTAAATATAAAAAATGAACGGTACGGTTATATTTGAAAATTAGATTGTATAACAAAAGGAATATATACAAAGTGAAATGATACAATGCAAAAGTGTATCAACGTTAACTAAATTCAGTACATCTTTTTCTGTATTACCAGTATTAAAACTTACACAGACTTCATTTTCTAGAGGTTAAACTTATCACTTAATACAAGATTTATATTATCTTTCCTCTCTTGAGACATGCAACAAAGTATAAACCGTTGTCACAACTCGATATTTAAAATTTAAATCTAGATGAGTACGATATGAAGTGTGATAGTATGAACGATGTGTACATTGTTGCCAATATTCGAATAAAAAAAGTTTCTGGAACATAGAAAATTAGCCTGAAAGAATGTGATTGGTTCGCATTAAAATTGCATAATATAAATTAAAATGATATAGTGCTACTCTAATAAGAACACTAAATTCGTTTACAGATTCGTAAAGTCCTAATATTAGATTTTAATATCATACTGAAGCAATTTGTAAATGTGCATGCCTCAAAAGATGGTATATTTAAGTATACTAGTCACACAAGGGAATTAAAGGGCCAGAGACAGAGATGCCAGATTCAACACCAGAGGTGCTAGAAAAGCACCGACGGTGCCCTACTCACACATGTCGACAAAGGCAAACTGACGCATGCGCCCTCTTTCTCGATTCTCCGAAGCTGCCCGAAGTAATTTCGGACCGCCTCGTGGGAGTCGAGAGAGAAAGGCTCACATTTGCCTTCTCGCTCTTAACAACTGAAATCCGACCTTCAGTCAACGGCATACGATTTGGATTCTCGAGCCGAGATTCTCGACTGCCCAGGCATTTTTACTTTCCGACATTTTTTTACATTTTTTCATATTTTAATGTTTTCCCATGTTATTAGAAAGTAGATATACGACGAAGGTTATACAACTTTATAGTTCCTAGCATGTATAACATGTATATGTATATAACGCATGGTCGCTTCGCATGGAAAGTCAATGAATCTTCAAAAAAGCGCCCAGGTCCGATTTCGAGAAATGTAAGGTCTGTCAGTCACGATGGCTTTTGTCGTTTACTGACGATTCGAACGGGTGGCGATGCCAGGCTTGCTTTCGAGAAATGTAAGCGACGTCAGCGATGCAAGAGCGAGAAGGAAAGCGAGTATCAGCCTGTTCTTCTCGGCTCTTCCGAAACTCAACGAGCTCACGTACACGCAATTGGGCATAGTGTGCGAAAGCGAGGAATGAGGAGTTTCCGGGGCCCCGATGCACAGTTTGATAACACTGATTTCGAGTCGTAAATACGTTTCTGCCGAATTATTTTTTTAATAAATGATGTATTACAATTTAAAATAAAAAATAGAGAATTTGCGGTGTACGTATCAATGAAATACATCCTTAGGAATTTTAATAATCTTGAAATTTTTAAATACTCTTAAACGATTGATTACTCCAATGAAATTAATCGATTAATGTCCAATGATGGACCCTACAGCTTTAATTCCGTTAAAAAATAATAAAATTTATGTAATTTTATTTTATGTCTTACTTCCTCTTGTGTTAATTTCTGAATCTGTTGATAACGTTGCGAGTGACACGAAAATGGTAATGGGGTCCCGGGACCCCAGAAACTCCGGCCGAAAAATTACATTAGGTGAAAGGTCTATTCCTATACCTCGTCTGTGCCTATACCTCGTCTGTGCTAAAATAACCTCCGAATTTTCAGGTCGGTATCAGCATGGACATAGGAATATAGGGACGGAGCAATAGTTGCGACTGTCGGCGAGGGGAGTGAAGCAGCTTTGCGGGGGGAAATCACGGTCACGTGGTACTCTCTGGTGCCGCATTAGTGATTGGTGCTATCCTAAATGCGCGAAATTTAAAAATGAAAGCTTTAGTTTCTTTACAATTATAAATGTACGATAGAATATTTTTAGTAAACCAGAGACACAAAATGTTTTATTTATAAATCAACATACTGAAATGTTAATGGTGATTGAGATGTCAGAATTAAATGGTTAAAAGTTTGAATCTATAGATATGAAAAATCTTTATTACTTTCGTTTGATATTTAAATTTGCAACTACGCAATGAATTCAGTACGGTTTGCATTATTATTTGATGAGATCTGTCAATAAATAAAACATGACTATTTAGGAATAGATAGATATAACTACAAGGTTATCTTTCACTTTTTTCGACTTAAGAATATGATTTAACGAATTTTGCAACATATAACTTGCCATCGTAGAGTTAAATATTGGTCATAGTCTTATAATGCAATATTAAAATTTTTATTATAAAATGTTAATCTAATTCCCTAAATATTGGTAATTTATCCTTTAATAAATTATACAACTGTTAATATCTATTTTTCTATTGCATAAAGAGATTAGGGTGTATTATCAATCATTTTCATAACAATTACCGGTGATATGAGAGAATAATTATATTATTTATTTTATTTTCTCCCAAAACGGGACGACTTGCCGTACGATTTTTACACCCTTTTACAACGCACAGTAGCATTGTAAAAACAAATATATATCTGTCTTTTTTAGAAAAAAAACTGTATAATTCACTGACGCTACTGCTCACAGTAACACCAGTCTACTCTTTCACTGCCTTTTACACTGCTTCTCACTCACTCTTACTCGATGAGAATAAGATTGCGCTTGCGCTATCACAACCAATCGCCAATGCGGCATCAGAGTACCACGTGACCATAGTTTGCAGCTCCCCGGAGCTGCTTCGCCCCCCTCGACCATTGCTCCGTCCCAGAGATGCCAGAAAAGCACCGCCGGGTGCACACGCACACATGCCAGATACGCGTACGTGAGCTCGTGGAGTTTCGGAAAGTCGACAAAGGCAAACTGACGCATGCCCTCTTTCTCGATTCTCCGAAGCTGCCCGAAGTAATTTCGGACCGCCTCGTGGGAGTGGAGAGAGAAAGGTTCACATTTGCCTTCTCGCTCTTAACAACTGAAATCCGACCTCCCGTCAACGGCATACGATTTGGATTCTCGAGCCGAGATTCTCGACTGCCCAGGCATTTTTACTTTCCGACCTATGTAGGCGCACATAAGCAAAGTACCCATAATGAAAAAAAAATTTTGTAAAATTTATTTTACGGAGATACACGTTTTAAGACCCCCTGATCATATTTTAATTATTGAAAAAAAAGAAATTTTTTTTATTCCCATGTATGAGCACACATATGTATATTATTATTACGATTGAGTATAAATGGCTGAATGAATTTAAATGAACCTTTACATTTAAGTTTTATGTTCTCATGTCAAAGTCCGGTTAGACTTTGACTATAATCAGCCCATGAATAATAATGATTATACCTCTTGTTATATAGTTGTTCCGATACATAGGCGTAATTCATAAAAAATCTGTTCATATTTTATTTTCCCGGACGAACGCAATTTTTAAATAAATTTAACACATTTAAACAATGATATTACGATATTAACATCGAAGTAACACTTTACCTTTTAAAATACTGACATAAAGTAATGAAAATAGAACCGAGTTACTTTTTATTTTGAATATTAAATCAAGTTTTACGTTATATGCAGAAAACATAGCGTAATTTAAAATTGATATTATTATTGTTCACACAGTAAACAAATTCATATAAGCATTCTGTAACTCATAACGAAAGAATCACGATCATGGTCGTAAATGAATTTAAATCACGACCGTGATTATGATTTTGTAATAACTGCGATAAATAACGATTTGTGGGGTTGTCACCTCCAGTACTCGCCACCAGAGGGATCGTTCTTTCACAAGCGCTCGACCGATCTTCTATTCTTATATACAGGGTGTTCGGCCACCGCTAGGAAAAATTTTAATGGAGGATTCTAGAGGCCAAAATAAGACGAAAATCAAGAATACCAATTTGTTGATGGAGGCTTCGTTAAAAAGTTATTAACAATTAAATTCAAAAATTTCAAATCGTTCTGGAAAAATTATTTTCGGTTGCGAGGGTCAACTACAATCATTTTTGGTGAATACACATTCCTCCGAAATCCTATCTACTTTCGAGAAAAAAAATCGAGTAGGTGCTGAAATTTTTCGGCGAAAAAAAAATTTTTCAAATCGTTCTAAAAAAATTATTTTCGATTTCGGGGGTCAATTACAATCATTTTATATCATTACACACACCCCCGAAATCGTACGCACTTTCGAGAAAAAAATTCCTTACTGAAAATCTAATTAGGTGCCTAAATTTTTCAACGGAAAAAAAAATTTCAAATCGTTCTAAAAAAATTATTTTCGATTTCGGGGGTCAATCACAATCATTTTATATCATTACACACACCCCCGAAATCGTACGCACTTTCGAGAAAAAAATTCCTTACTGAAAATCTAATTAGGTGCCTAAATTTTTCAACGGAAAAAAGAATTTCAAATCGTTCTGGCAAAATTATTTTCGGTTGCGGGAGTTAGTTACAATCAGTTTTTGTCATTAGACATACCCACGAAATCCTGCCCACTTTCGAGAAAAAAAATAGAGAAGGTGTGAAATTATTCGTCAAAATTAAAAAGTTGCAAATCATTGTGGAAAAATTATTTTCGGTTGCGGGGTTCAATTACAGTCATTTTTTGTGAATAGACATACCCGCGAAATCTTGCGCATTTTCGAAAAAAAAATTCAGTAAGTACCGCACTTTAAACGTTAATAACTTTTTAACGAAGCTTCCTTCAACAAATTGGTATTCTTGATTTTTGTCTTATTTTGGCCTCTAGAATCCCCCATTAAAATTTTTCCCAGGGGTGAACGAACACCCTGTATACATTCCTCGACCAATTCGCGAATATCCCTAAGTATAAAGTACCCTCGTTAGTAGATCTACTCTTCGATTTTACTGCGATTTATGAATCGCAATCGAAAGAAATACAAAAATATATTTGTATACTGTGGGCATTTCCATTAAAAATTACATTCAATAACAATCAAGAAAGTAAATTTGTTGTAGCGGTAAGGTAATAAATAGAAAATTATTTCTCATTAGAGAATAATTTATTTTTTGTATTTATATAAGAACATAAACCTTAAACCTATTTCTTAGGCTTTTTGTCCTTAGCAACCTTCGTGACATCATCAGGATTCTCTGCTGCCTCTTTAGCACGCTTTGCACGAATTCCAACTAATCTAGCATCAGCCCTAGCCTTACGGATAGTTATGTATGCACAGAGTTTCTTTTCCTTTTTAGAAATGACATGTGCCATTGCCTTGAGCGGTGCTTGATGCCTTATTGGCATAACTTCTCCTGTAACTTGCGTTGCAACTTTCATTTCTTCCTCAGTTGCTTCACCCTTCTTAGGCTATTTTTATAAATAATACATAGCGTTAATTTTATTTTTTTATGCGTTTAATATGTTTTTGTAGACATACATACTTTTTTCTCATTTAATGGGAACAAAATCAATTTCGATTTGTATTCCTTTAATCTTTGAGCATTTGTTTGCAAAGATTCGATCGACTTATTTCGTCTTCTAGGATCTACCGCAATTCCAATAGTCCTGGCGAACCTTTTGTTCAAACCACTAGCTTTTATTTCAGCCAAGGTAAAACCTTTGCCAGCTCTAACTTTTGTGTGATAACGGAAAGTCGGACAATGAACAGCAGGCCTCAAAAGTTTTACAGGTCTGAACAAAATAACTTTTGAATTAATAGTAAACAAAGCAATCGAATAAAAAATACTATACAATTAAGTTATGAAAGATCAAAGTAACATAAAAATTAAATTAATACACTTTACTCACCTTGGTGCAAGCGAACGAGCTTTCTTTACACGACTTTGTTTGCGGCGATATTTTCTAGCAGGTTGATTGAACCAAGTTTTCACAAATCTTTGCCAGTCTTTATGGAAGTGCCCGTTAGGGATCATATTATTTCTTTTACCCATGATCGAACTAAAACAGAAATAAAAACTTTACAAATTATTTCTAACATATTTTGCAAAATTCATCTTATCTCTTAAACATTTCCGACGAAATTAATATTACTTTTACAAATTGGGTTAGAAATATGTTGTTGATTCAAATTGTAAACAAATAATTTAATACGTTATAACATATAACGTTTCATATTTTTACTATCGTCTTGTACGAATACAATCATTAAGTATTTATTTCTTAGTTTAAAAAGTATATTTTGTTAAATTGTGACAAAAATCTATGAGAACGTAACCTCTCAAGTAACGTCAAATCATGATTACATTTATTAAACTATAAAATAACAAATATACTGTTTGATCACAATTACTAATATAAACGACAGTATTTCTTCACTGTTACGTTAAGTATTAATTTGAGATGTTAAATTTTTCGATGGATTTTACTCGGAAAATATTACTCACGAACTTGTTTATACGGTGTACACCGGAAAAGAAATCAACTCAACGAACCGGAAGTTGCATTTTGTAATAAATTGATATGCATTTGTTAAATAAAACGTTACTTATTTTTATATTTACATTAGTTTTTTACGAGCAAGTATTGATAATTAACAATTCACGTTACAAATATTTTTCGTATTAGATGTTATATATAGAATATATTTTATTGAAGTAGTAGTCCAGTACTCGGTAACTCGGAACCAGAACCTCAGAAGATTAGTAGGATGAGGTTGTCGGTCTGAACTTACTCGATACAAATTTAGAATATTATGATACAATTAAAAAATAGTATTTACATAAATATTTAAATAATTAACATTAATAATGAAGTTTACAGAATCATTCTGCAGAAATCTAGTTCCATGTTATAAGAATCATATTCTTATTAATTATATCATTAACCGATGCGCTTCAACCGGTGTAAATTTCTTCTCGGTATAAATTTTATTTTGTAAATACCTATAGTGAGTAACTTTGGAACATTCCTAGCAAACGGCCCGTTCACCGATCGGGGTGAGTTATACGTCATTCGATTCGTCTAATTCAATACATTATTGATATGCATTTCATTATCTGCGGAAATTCGTTATTTTTTTATAAACTTGTCGTAAAGTTACAGTAAAAAAGTGAGGTTAGGTACATTTTTTGACAGGTTCACAGATAGAAACAAGTGACTATCGTTGTTATGTTCATGTTACAAATATAAATGATTGATCTAATTTGATAATGCTACATTGTCGAACGGGAATTTGTAGAATGCGTATGCATAAAAATCATTTTGTTACGGATAGACTTTGCATGAGTCGGTCAGGTAGACAATATGTGCCGCAACAATTCCCCTCCCCAACAGTGTTTACGGGTAGAGAATATAATAAATTACTATTGTATGCAGTGCGTTGGATTAACTTTTTTTTATTATTAAATTTCATTATCATCTAGGTCTGGTATATTTTGGTTTTCCGTAGAACCAAATGAAATTTCTGCAATTTCTTTTAATAGCTGGTTAAATAAATCATCCTTTCCTTGCTTGGAAAATTTGTAAAATATGTAGTGGCTTAACCCTTTGCGGTCGGATTAAATTTGGAGATTGTTATCGTACTGGTCGGAATTAATTTCCATCGATAAAGCAAGGATACATAACACGCAAGTTTACGATGTATAAACGAGTTTTAGTAATTCTTTTGTGAACTTTAGATATATCTTTATTCAATACACTCATCTTGTGATATGTTTTCGTTTAAAAATTATGTTTTATAATTCTCCTTCGTGTGATATTTTTCAAAACACTCTCCAACATGCAGGCCAGGTTTTCGAGTGCATGTATCGCATTTTGGGGAATTATTTTGGAATATTTTAAAAAGAGAGAATGTCTAATTACTGTTAAATACAATTTATAAAATATTCTTTGGAATTCTACAAGGTATCGTCGAACGTTGTCGATTTCACTACGTTCAAAAGACGACTGACTCGCCACTGCGTCTTGCATGACGAGTTACAACTTTTGTGTACATTAGATTACGTTATCTCCAATTGATGGAGCATCGTATTGGTTCGTGAATAGGTCCTTTAGGCATTGAGGTTCGTATAGGAAAAGTGTAAACTGATACATGAATGCATACAGTATACGATTCGTATAGTTCCTTGCTGTGGTGGCTGAGAGCAGACATACGACCGGAACGGTAAAAAGGCTTTGGTGGCTGAGAGTAGACATACGACCGCAAAGGGTTAAATAACCAATGAAATTATCTTTTTTGCTAAAAATAGAAAATTTTATGGTATTATATGTTACAGAAAATATTAAAAAACGTGCAAAATTACAAATACTAACCGACAATATTCAGGCAAAAAGTGTTTACTATGCCTCCGCGTAGTTTCTATCGTATTTATATGAGCGCCTGTTTCTGAGTCTTTGAAATGTAAGCTGTGATTTACGGTAAGATGTTTGTACCCCTCTTTCTCTAAGATGTTAAAGGCTTTCCAACAATCTGAAATAATTGTTGTGCCAGGCAACACCCATTGTTTAATTATTGAAAGCAGGGACTCTGTGCCCCTACTTTCAACAGGCACCAGGAATATTTTTCTACTTCCTCTTTCTATGCCTCCAAAAACCCATTGTCTCTCTACACGATGACCTCTGTGATATTTTCTTTGTCCGAACTTAGATTCGTCTATTTCTACTATTTTGCCTGGTCCGCCAACTACTTCGCATGAATGTTGTAGCCAATCAGTCATAACTTGTTTTACAAAATAATTCCATTGAGAAACAGTATTTTTATTCAATTGTAATTCTCGTACAATCTGATATTGATCAAAATTATGGACTAACATGTAAGTTAATTTTAATACCATTTCATAAGAAAGCTTTGTTTTTGAAAACCACGTTCCACGTTTTACACATATTTTTACATCACAAGTTCGCTTTCGTTTGCAAGCACTAAGAGATGCTGCAATTGTTTTTCTACAACGCCAATTTTCATTTATCAATTTCATTGCATTTCCACATCATGGACAATTAAGATTTTTGGCAATCAACTTTTTATCTTGCAAAAATTTTAATAAAGCTTCTTTATTTTTACAAAATTCGTGCAATTTAAATAAGGTCCACACTTCTGGAACTACTAATTCGGTCATTTTTATAGCACGGTTGAACAAAATTCACAAAGTACAAGAAACAGAAGAAAATCAGAAATGACAGTTGAAACAAATGATTACTGAAACAATTTCTGCTTTTCTTCTGTTTCTTGTACTATCTGCATCGTGGGAATGTTATGAAAATTGGCAATGCAGGATAACTATTCCAGGATATGTCAATCAAATTAAACGTAAAAGACATTGTAATATAAAGATATTTGCAAAGCAAAGAACATGGTTTTCTAAAAACAAACTCAGCTATAGATGTTTTAAAATTAACATATATACTAACATATAATTATGAGCAATGTCATATTATTATGTAACTAAAATTAAATAAAAATATTGCTCAGCAATTGGAAGGGTAGAGTAGATTGTCGAGATTGATGAATCAACATTTTGTCATAGAAAATATCACAGAGGCCATTTGAAAATTAATCACAGCGTCAATTTTGAAGATCCTATTACTGATGCTTACATGAATTAAATTGAAACCACTTGGAGGCATGCTACACATTTTTTAATCTTTTTTATAACATATAATACTATCAATATTTTATATTTTTAAGAAGAGTAACTTCATCGAATGCCTGAGCCATTATGTATTTAGTAAATGTACCTAATAGAAAAATGGTGATTTATTCAATGAAATATTAGCAGAAATAGTAGAAATTTCATTCAATAAATGTTTAACAAATCAGCATTTGACTACCTAGCATTTTGAACAGAGTAACGACAGTCACTTGTTTCCACCTGTGGACTTGTCAAAATATACTTAACTTTACTTTTTTACTGTAACTTTACGACAAGTTTATAAAAAAATAACGAATTTATAATGAAATGCATATTAACACTAGAAATACTGAAACTTAGTATATACCTATATTACCCAAAAGCAGTCAAAATGACTGCATCGTGAAAGAATAACTAATGTGTAAAGAAATTTGTTTAAAATTGATTTTTAATATTATGTTATAATATTATGAATTTAGGGCGCAGAAATAAAATAAACAACTTGTTAGAACAAGTATCACTGCATAAAGATTCGAATAATAAGTACTACTTTAGCTCATTGAGAAACTGTAATTTATCAATAGTTCTGGGTTAGGTCTGGATTAGATCTGGATTAGATCTGGGTTAGGTCTGGATTAGATCTGAGTTAGGTCTGGGTTAGGTCTGGATTAGATCTGGATTAGATCTGGGTTAGGTCTGGATTAGATCTGGATTAGATCTGGGTTAGGTCTGGATTAGATCTGGGTTAGGTCTGGGTTAGGTCTGGGTTAGTTCTCATTTACACTGTTGTTGTATTTTGTATTTTCCAAGTGTATGATTTGGTTTGGACTCGAAAAAATGTCGAATGGGACTTGACGAACAATGCTTTTAAGTGTTTTATTTGAAATTTACCTGTTAAAATAAGTGTTTTATTTACACTGTTGTTGTATTTTGTAATTTCCAAGTGTATGATTTCTGTTTGGTGCGGACTTGAAAGAATGTCGAGTGAGACTTGACGAAGGTGCTCCTGAGATCAAAATTGATGTCGTATCACACTCGACATAGGAGTGCAAAGGGTTAAGATAATTTGGATTATTAACTAACCCAGACCTAACCCAGACCTAACCCAGATCTAATTCAGTTCTAATCCAGACCTAACCCAGAGCTAACTCAGATCTAATCCAGACCTAACCCAGACCTAACTCAGATCTAACTCAGATCTAATCCAGACCTAACCCAGATCTAGGGTTTCCGCAGATAATGAAATGCATATCAATAATGTATTGAATTGGACGAATCGAATGACGTATAAACTCACCCCGATCGGTGAACGGGCCGTTTGCTAGGAATATACCGTAACTTTAATATGCGAACACTTTGCAATACTCATTTTGTTGCTTTATAATTTTGTCTATGATAAGAATAAGAATATTGTAAATTAAATAAATAAATTTTATGCTTTTGTTAACTAGACTCAATACTTTAATGTAATATATAATTAAATTATTTTATTTTTCATCATAGACAAAATTATAAAGTAACAAAATAAATTTTGTTATGTGTTCGAATATTAAAATTACTCGTTGCATAGTGTTGAGATTTGTATTACTTATGTTTTTTTCTTTTTTTAAAAATATTTATAATTTAAATGTTATCTTAGAATGTAGAACCTACACATTCTGTGAAAATAGAAATAGAAAAATATTGGAGGGATAAAATTAATTTGTACACATATGATGAATTTGATATTGCGAAAGAAAAATTTTATGTGCTTTCGATGTTTCCCTATCCCTCTGGAGTACTTCATATGGGTCATGTAAGAGTGTATACAATAAGCGATACTGTTGCTCGCTTTTACAGAATGAAAGGCAAGTCTCTTTAAAAATTGTTTAAATAAGTATACAGGGTGTTCCAGATCTCAACCGACAAACTTCGCCAACATATTTTTGAGGTCATTGTGAGCAAAAAATGTTATATACACCATAGATCGTTTCGTCTTCGCTTTGGATATTATGAAAGGAAAGTGGTGTGATTCACAGATACATAATCATTTATTCGCAATTATGTTTTGCAGTTATTTACAGTACGTAAAGTAATTTAAAGATATTGCTCAAAATGGTTACCTTTTGATCGTATGCATGCAGCTAAGCGTGTTTCCATGGATTGCATCCACTGCATCCATTGAACTCCTGAAGAGTTTGAAAGATTACTGTTACAGGCAAAAGTTGCATCTTCGATTTTTGCTATCGATTTGTCACATGTATTAGGCTTTTGATTTAAATACACCTTCGACTTCATGGAACCCCATAGAAATAAATCTAGAGGGGTTAGATCAGGAGATCGAGGGGCCCACCCAACAGCTCCATATCTTCCAATCCATCTACCACGAAAAGTCTCATTGTTGTTATGTTTCTGGCATTATGACGAGGTGCACTGTCATGTTGCGTCCACATGTGTTGTCGTGTTTCTAGTGGGATATTCTCTTAGTATTGGGGTAGGTAATTTTTTAAAAAATTTCTGTAAGTTATACCAGTTAGATTACTCTCAAAGAAATAAGGTCCAACGAGACGATTACCCAGTAATCCACACCATACATTTACAGAAAATTTTCATACGACCAGATGTGAGAGTTTTTAGAATTGTTTATTCCATCACGAGTGAAGGTGGCTCCGTCTATGAATAAAATATTCAGATTTGATTAAAGCCATTCACAATATTCAAACCGACGTGCATAATGGCTAGGCAAACGATGTTGCACTTTTTGTGGATGATAGGGACGAAGACCTTTTGAATTAAGTATTCTCCATGCTTAAGTACAAGGTACACTGGTTGTCAATGAAAGCCTATGTACGCTTGAAGTTGGATCTCTCTGTATCACATTCGAGACTTGATCAGTACGTCTTCTTGTATCAACATGACAGCGTTTAGTCTTTCGCTGTGGAAAGGAACCAGTTCTTTTACAACAATCACAAACATTTGCAAACGTTGAGCGATGAGGGATCCTGCGACATGGATATCGTTCACGATACTCTGCTACAGCAGCACGTCCATTGCCATTGTAAAAGCCATACAAAAAACACCATACCTCCCGAACATGTTTGTGGAGTTTGTCACCCTGTCTAATGTTCAATTAATATCTCATTTTACAAATTTCTAATTAATATTAGGATATAATGTTCTTCATCCAATGGGTTGGGATGCGTTTGGATTACCTGCCGAAAATGCTGCAATTGAGAAACAAATTGATCCTTCACAATGGACGACTGACAATATTGAAGTAATGCGAAATCAATTAACCTTGTTGAATTATAATTTTGACTGGAACAGAGAATTTGTAACAAGCGATCCAGAATATTACAGATGGACGCAAGAGTTATTTTTGAAACTGTTTGAAAAAGATTTGGTTTATAAGAAAGAATCATTTGTTAATTGGGATCCGGTCGATCAAACTGTATTAGCGGATGAACAAGTCGATGCAAATAATTATTCTTGGAGATCGGGTGTAAAAGTAGAAAAAAAATTGTTGAATCAATGGTTCATTAAAACGACACCATTTGCAAAGTAAGTAAACTAATTTACCATTATAAAATATTATGATAACAGCAACGATATCTAATTATGTATATTATTAATTTGTTATATATAGGTCACTGTTAGAAGGTTTAAATGATCCAACGTTAAAAGAATGGAGAGACATTATAAAAATTCAAAAAAATTGGCTAGGTGAATGTAACGGTACTAGTTTTGAATTACAATTAATATCGAATATTCCAAATTATCCAAAGACGATAAATGTTTGGACAGATACTCCAGAATTTATCGAGTATGCTAAGTTTGTTGCAGTATCGCCAAAAAGCATGTTAAACTATTCCGAGTATTGTCAAGACGTAAACGAAGAAATTCAAATATTGGATGCTAAAGCATTAAATCCATTCAATGGAGAAGAATTGCCAGTATTTGTAACAGATAATGTTACATTTGAACCTTTCAGAGATACATATATTGGTATACCTTCTGCTTCGATGAGTGATTATACATTCTCCGAAACAGTTGGAATTGAATTTCTACGGCATTCGATAAAAAATTACGAACAACAACAAGAAAAACTGTCAGAGGTATTATCTAAAGCAAGAAAATGGAATATTGGTGGATATCGAGTTGGTTCAAGGCTGCAAGATTGGCTAATATCTAGACAAAGATATTGGGGTACACCGATTCCAATTATTCATTGTTCGCACTGTGGAGCTCAACCGGTACCACGCAATCAGCTTCCAGTTGTTTTACCAAAGATTACATTCTCACATAAAAGATGTACATTGCTCGATTCTAAAGATTGGTTAAATACATCTTGTCCTAAATGCGGGGGGCAGGCAACTAGAGAATCAGATACAATGGATACATTTGTAGATAGTTCATGGTATTTTTTGAGATACATTGATCCAGAAAATACAAAAGAAATGTTTGATATTGATAAAGTAAAAGAAATATTTCCCGTTGACCTTTATGTAGGTGGAAAAGAACATGGTATGTAATTTTAGTACCTTTACACATATACAGAGTATTACGTTTAAGTGAGATGGTGGAATATCTCTTATCGGAGTTATTAGAAAAAGTTTTCTGCAAAAATTATTTGATTTGAAGGGACACGTTGTAAATATTTCTTGTGTAGGTTTAGCGATAGACATTTATTTGTAATATGGCAGCTAATTATGGTCTTTCAACACGGATTGTTCATGAAATCCGTAAAAAAAATAATTTGAAACCTCTTAAGATGTTCATAAAATGTTTCCATAAGATTTTAGACCACAAGTAGAATTTTCAGTGTAAATATTTGAAAATATTGCCTATGATCCAGGCTTTATTTGTGATAATAACAGACGAATGTATTTTTTATATTAATAATATATGTCATCAAAATACCAAGATGTGGGCAAGTTCTAATCTAATAGTCATATAGTAGGTCGTTCAAATCAAATAATTTTAGTAGAAAACTTTTTCTAATAACACCAACGCCTTGTGAGATATTCCACCATTCTGACTTAAACGTAACACCCTGTATAAAGAATTTATATGTATACTACTGAACGTAAGTACTAAGACACTTGGTGAAAACGTTGTCAATGTTTGAATTATTGTAATTTCGTGAAAAAAAATCATATAATAATTTTTGTATGATTATTTTAAAATTAGAATTCTCTACTCTAACATCCCTAAATTGAATTTCGACGTGGAAGTAGAAAGTTTCATTTTTAAAGTAATGTTTTGGCCAAGTGTTTTAATATTTGAAAATTATTAAATGATAATATATAATTTCAGCTACGTTGCATTTATATTATGCTAGATTTATAAGTCACTTCTTACATTCGGAAGGACTATTGCCTAGTAAAGAACCATTTAAGCAATTACTTGTACAGGGTATGGTAATGGGTAAAACCTTCCAAATACAGAGTACAGGGAAATATTTGAAGGCTGATGAAGTAGAAAAAAAGGGAGAACAATATATACAAAAGGATACCAAGATACCTGTAGTCGTCTCATGGGAAAAAATGTCTAAATCAAAATATAATGGCATCAATCCTCTTGAATTAATAGACAAATATGGAATTGATACAACTAGATTGTTAATATTAGGTGATGTAGCACCAACTTCAAATAGAAATTGGAGCGATGACAGTAAGTGAATAAAAACTATTTATTATTATAAAATTATTTATTAAATATTGAATAATATGCAGGGTGTTCGGTCACCACTGGAAAAAATTTTAATGGGAGATTCTAGAGACCGAAATAAGACGAAAATCAAGAATATTAATTTCTTGACTGAGGCTTCGTTAAAAAGTTATTAAAAAATTGTTTTCGGTTGCAGGGGTCGATCACAATCATTTTTGGTCATTACACATACCCCCGAAATTCTACGCATTTTCGAGAAAAAAATTCCTTACCGAAAATATGATTTCAGGCCAGAAATGTCTCTACGAAATTTCGCGCGTATCTTTAAAACGTTATAACTTCTGAACAGATTGGAGGATTTTAATTTTCCAAGATGCAATCAACGCGTATTTTGATGAAGAATATATGAAAATTCCAAAAATATTCGAAAACTTATTCCTTAACTCCGCAAAATGAGAAAAACCCCATGAAATTGGTCTAATTTTCAAACAGCCATAACTCCTACAATGATGAATATATTTCAATGAAACTTTTTTCTGAGGTAGAACTCATGGGTACCTACAAAAAAGTAGTAGACAATTTTTTTATCGGGCGTCAAACAAAATTACTAAAAATGAAAAACGAATTTTTAAAAAAAATCGGGTAGGTGCCTAAATTCGGCGAAAAAAAAAATTTCGAATCGTTCTGGAAAAATTACTTTTGGTTGCGAGAGTCAATTATAATCATTTTTTGTGAATAGACATACCCCCGAAATCATACTCATTTTCGAGAAAAAAATTCCTTACCGAAAATCTAATGTGAGGCTAGAAATGGTCCCCCAAAATTTCATATGAATCTTTAAAACGTCATAACTTCTGAACAGATTGGAGGATTTTCATTTTTCAAGATGCAATCAACGCGTATTTTGATGAAGAATATATGAAAATTCCAAAAATATTCGAAAACTTATTCCTTAACTCCGCAAGATGAGAAAAACCCCATAAAAATGGTCTAATTTTCAAACAGCCATAACTCCTACAATAATGAATATATTTCAATGAAACTTTTTTCTGAAGTAGAATTCATGGGTACCTACAAAAAAATAGTAGACAACTTTTTTATAGGACGTCAAACAAAATTACTAAAAATGAAAAACGAATTTTTAAGAAAAATCGGGTAGGTGCCTAAATTCGGCGAAAAAAAAATTTCGAATCGTTCTGGAAAAATTATTTTCGATTGCAGGACTCAATTATAATCATTTTTTGTGAATAGACATACCCCCGAAATCATACTCATTTTCGAGAAAAAAAATTCCTTACCGAAAATCTAATGTGAGGCTAGAAATGGTCCCCCAAAATTTCATATGAATCTTTAAAACGTCATAACTTCTGAACAGATTGGAGGATTTTAATTTTCCAAGATGCAATCAACGCGTATTTTGATGAAGAATATATGAAAATTCCAAAAATATTCGAAAACTTATTCCTTAACTCCGCAAGATGAGAAAAACCCCATAAAAATGGTCTAATTTTCAAACAGCCATAACTCCTACAATAATGAATATATTTCAATGAAACTTTTTTCTGAAGTAGAATTCATGGGTACCTACAAAAAAATTGTAGACAACTTTTTTATAGGACGTCAAACAAAATTACTAAAAATGAAAAACGAATTTTTAAGAAAAATCGGGTAGGTGCCTAAATTCGGCGAAAAAAAAAATTTCGAATCGTTCTGGAAAAATTATTTTCGATTGCAGGACTCAATTATAATCATTTTTTGTGAATAGACATACCCCCGAAATCATACTCATTTTCGAGAAAAAAATTCCTTACCGAAAATCTAATGTGAGGCTAGAAATGGTCCCCCAAAATTTCATATGAATCTTTAAAACGTCATAACTTCTGAACAGATTGGAGGATTTTCATTTTTCAAGATGCAATCAACGCGTATTTTGATGAAGAATATATGAAAATTCCAAAAATATTCGAAAACTTATTCCTTAACTCCGCAAGATGAGAAAAACCCCATAAAAATGGTCTAATTTTCAAACAGCCATAACTCCTACAATAATGAATATATTTCAATGAAACTTTTTTCTGAAGTAGAATTCATGGGTACCTACAAAAAAATTGTAGACAACTTTTTTATAGGACGTCAAACAAAATTACTAAAAATGAAAAACGAATTTTTAAGAAAAATCGGGTAGGTGCCTAAATTCGGCGAAAAAAAAAATTTCGAATCGTTCTGGAAAAATTATTTTCGATTGCAGGAGTCAATTATAATCATTTTTTGTGAATAGACATATCCCCGAAATCATACTCATTTTCGAGAAAAAAATTCCTTACCGAAAATCTAATGTGAGGCTAGAAATGGTCCCCCAAAATTTCATATGAATCTTTAAAACGTCATAACTTCTGAACAGATTGGAGGATTTTCATTTTTCAAGATGCAATCAACGCGTATTTTGATGAAGAATATATGAAAATTCCAAAAATATTCGAAAACTTATTCCTTAACTCCGCAAGATGAGAAAAACCCCATAAAAATGGTCTAATTTTCAAACAGCCATAACTCCTACAATAATGAATATATTTCAATGAAACTTTTTTCTGAAGTAGAATTCATGGGTACCTACAAAAAAATTGTAGACAACTTTTTTATAGGACGTCAAACAAAATTACTAAAAATGAAAAACGAATTTTTAAGAAAAATCGGGTAGGTGCCTAAATTCGGCGAAAAAAAAAATTTCGAATCGTTCTGGAAAAATTATTTTCGATTGCAGGACTCAATTATAATCATTTTTTGTGAATAGACATACCCCCGAAATCATACTCATTTTCGAGAAAAAAATTCCTTACCGAAAATCTAATGTGAGGCTAGAAATGGTCCCCCAAAATTTCATATGAATCTTTAAAACGTCATAACTTCTGAACAGATTGGAGGATTTTAATTTTCCAAGATGCAATCAACGCGTATTTTGATGAAGAATATATGAAAATTCCGAAAATATTCGAAAACTTATTCCTTAACTCCGCAAGATGAGAAAAACCCCATAAAAATGGTCTAATTTTCAAACAGCCATAACTCCTACAATAATGAATATATTTCAATGAAACTTTTTTCTGAGGTAGAACTCATGGGTACCTACAAAAAAGTAGTAGACAACTTTTTTATAGTGCGTCAAACAAAATTACTAAAAATGAAAAATGAATTTTTAAGAAAAATCGGGTAGGTGCCTAAATTTGGCGAAAAAAAAAATTTCGAATCGTTCTGGAAAAATTATTTTCGATTGCAGGAGTCAATTACAATAATTTTTGGTAAATAGACATACCCCCGAAATCACACTCATTTTCGAGAAAAAAAATTCCTTACCGAAAATCTAATGTGAGGCTAGAAATGGTCCCCCAAAATTTCATATGAATCTTTAAAACGTCATAACTTCTGAACAGATTGGAGGATTTTAATTTTTCAAGATGCAATCAACGCGTATTTTGATGAAGAATAAATGAAAATTCCAAAAATATTCGAAAGCTTATTCCTTAACTCCGCAAAATGAGAAAAACCCCATAAAAATGGTCTAATTTTCAAACAGCCATAACTCCTACAATAATGAATATATTTCAATGAAACTTTTTTCTGAAGTAGAATTCATGGGTACCTACAAAAAAATTGTAGACAACTTTTTTATAGGACGTCAAACAAAATTACTAAAAATGAAAAACGAATTTTTAAGAAAAATCGGGTAGGTGCCTAAATTCGGCGAAAAAAAAAATTTCGAATCGTTCTGGAAAAATTATTTTCGATTGCAGGAGTCAATTATAATCATTTTTTGTGAATAGACATATCCCCGAAATCATACTCATTTTCGAGAAAAAAATTCCTTACCGAAAATCTAATGTGAGGCTAGAAATGGTCCCCCAAAATTTCATATGAATCTTTAAAACGTCATAACTTCTGAACAGATTGGAGGATTTTCATTTTTCAAGATGCAATCAACGCGTATTTTGATGAAGAATATATGAAAATTCCAAAAATATTCGAAAACTTATTCCTTAACTCCGCAAGATGAGAAAAACCCCATAAAAATGGTCTAATTTTCAAACAGCCATAACTCCTACAATAATGAATATATTTCAATGAAACTTTTTTCTGAAGTAGAATTCATGGGTACCTACAAAAAAATAGTAGACAACTTTTTTATAGGACGTCAAACAAAATTACTAAAAATGAAAAACGAATTTTTAAGAAAAATCGGGTAGGTGCCTAAATTCGGCGAAAAAAAAATTTCGAATCGTTCTGGAAAAATTATTTCGATTGCAGGACTCAATTATAATCATTTTTTGTGAATAGACATACCCCCGAAATCATACTCATTTTCGAGAAAAAAATTCCTTACCGAAAATCTAATGTGAGGCTAGAAATGGTCCCCCAAAATTTCATATGAATCTTTAAAACGTCATAACTTCTGAACAGATTGGAGGATTTTAATTTTCCAAGATGCAATCAACGCGTATTTTGATGAAGAATATATGAAAATTCCAAAAATATTCGAAAACTTATTCCTTAACTCCGCAAGATGAGAAAAACCCCATAAAAATGGTCTAATTTTCAAACAGCCATAACTCCTACAATAATGAATATATTTCAATGAAACTTTTTTCTGAAGTAGAATTCATGGGTACCTACAAAAAAATTGTAGACAACTTTTTTATAGGACGTCAAACAAAATTACTAAAAATGAAAAACGAATTTTTAAGAAAAATCGGGTAGGTGCCTAAATTCGGCGAAAAAAAAATTTCGAATCGTTCTGGAAAAATTATTTTCGATTGCAGGACTCAATTATAATCATTTTTTGTGAATAGACATACCCCCGAAATCATACTCATTTTCGAGAAAAAAATTCCTTACCGAAAATCTAATGTGAGGCTAGAAATGGTCCCCCAAAATTTCATATGAATCTTTAAAACGTCATAACTTCTGAACAGATTGGAGGATTTTCATTTTTCAAGATGCAATCAACGCGTATTTTGAT